GTCACATCATGTCAGACAGTCATGACCCCTAATGTTTTAGCAATTCATGTCTTCTTACTGCACTTCCAGAAGAGTGACAAGCTGGAATAGAGTTGGACTAGATGGATGTAATGAGCGATGAGGATTGGAACACACCCCTGAAAGTCTTGCTGTGTCCCCCAGTGTTTAGAGTTTGTCTCCATTAACATGGTCGCTAGAGATGAAGACATTTTGGACAGTCAGTAGTGTTGGGGTACACAGGCAGAGCTGGGACTGCGTCTGCAAGGGCATCCATTGTTTGCTGTGCACTCAACAGGGGATACAGCACTTGGAGAACATGCAGCTCTGCTTTGAAGATCTGCTCTGACAGCTGACAACCTTCTCCTCAACCCAGAGCTCATAAGCAATGCCATTATACACTATAATGCCAAATAACGACTGTGCTGACTAGCTCTGGGATGAAATACCAGATCTAAAATAACACGATGTATTTGTGCGTGCTCGGACGTTACAAACACAGTTTAGACTGTTATGAAACAACAGCTTTTAAAAGCGTAACCAGATCAACTTTTTCCACGCTTGCTTTTCTCCACTTACAGGGATTAGAGGTGTCTTGACCAGCAGGAAATAGTAGCAAAGAATTTGGTGATAATACCACAAGGACAAGTCTGTAGCTCCTTTTCTTCAATCAGCTCTAGAGTCACGACTGTGTGCTTTACCCAAGCCTCGCTTTACTGTATGGTATTGCCAACCACCTACACCACCACCTGTATCTGTCTAGCCCCTGAAGTTTGCCTACGGCGCCACTCTGATTAGTCTCATTCCTGTTGATGATGAGTCATACAATAGAGGGCTTCTGTAAAAAGATAGCCCATTTTCCCCACTCACTATTCCGTAGAGAAAACATGCATAACAGTTACACACCAACACACACTAATACAATGCCTTTGCTTGTCATTTGAACAATGTGATCATTGTGAGGCAGAGTGGGTGCACTCTAAATATAACTGTCCTCAGTTTTGTTTTAACCGGGCCCTGGCTGCTGATTCAACCTGTGGTAATGTCCGCCGATAGGTAGAAACTGCTTCTACTTCAGCATATTTTCATCAAGCTGAGATAGCATAATGTTGCTATAAGAGCAATAAAAGTCCATCCTCAGAGGCCCGTGAAGATACAGCTACAAACAGATATCCACATATACAAGTACACAGCCAGAAACACACACATTCCCGTCCTCGAATCAGACTCATTTGCACCGCCGTGACACCTGAATGCTTTAGCCTCGGTGTAAGTGGGCTGTATGACATTATGCTTGATAATGGTAGCTATTGCTTCTCTCATATATGATGGATGCGTCTGTCACTGTGCAGTCATCGCCACACCCTATTGGACACAGCTTTTTTCTGACAGGAAAATCAGCCAATCCTGATGCTTCAGTGAGCAGCCCCCCTAATCTTTTCCTCGTGCTGTAATTCCAGGTTGCAGAACGAACCCCGGGTAATCCGTCGCAGGGTGCGTTGTTCCACTTGTTGTCACTTTCTTCATCTCTCTCTGTGTGTTTCTCTCTCTCTTTTCCTCGCTCTCTCGCTCTTTCTCTTTATTTTGCACTCACATAAAATCTATCTGTCTCTCTCTCTCTCTCTCTGTTTTTTTTCTGTCTCTCAGTTGCTGTCTCTTTCTCATGTTCTCTCCACCTTATGTTCTGCCTCCCTAGCTGGCTGCTCCTCATACTTTCTCATTGATTTTCTTTCCATTCACCAGCCTCACCGCACCTATTGAGTAAGTGATTGACATTCCCCTGCATCTTTCTATTTCTCTCTCAGTCTTTTCCGTTTGCTCCTCTCCAATTCCCTTCTCTCTTATTATACCCTATTCTTCCTCCCGCCTCCAAGTTTCTTAGGGAAATAAATAGTGCACAGCACTCCTCAAAAGTCTGAACTTTGTCTGAATTTGTTTCCTAGATTTGCTGGTTCTAGGACACAGTACTTATTTATTGTAATTGCAGTGTAAATACCAAATTAATGACACTGCAAATGAGAAACACCAAGTTACAGCTATTTATATTGTTGTACACAAACACAGTCTGGTGTATGGCAATTGCAGCTTCTTCCCTCTATGATAAAAGCTTATGAGTCTAATAGATTCTCGGGTTGTGCTGCGTGTATAATGAGGTTTTATGCAATGGTTCAATGCTGTTGCTTCACAAGGATTAATGCGATGGTTAGGCTTCCCTTTGCTTTAGAGTTTGCACAACCTACAGAATTAATACAAAATGCTCTAAAAGGGAAATGACATGTAAGATTACTGATTACTTTCCTGGCCATCATATTAATGGCAACTTGTGCTTTGATTAATATCTATCTATTTAATTTGTTGTGTATTGGTTTCTCCAACATTTAGACACTTGTTGTCATCTTTTCATCCCATTTGTGCTATATAATGAGTAGCCTCTTATTTTTATTGCACTAATCAATAATAAAAAGTGTAATTTATTGCCTAAAGTCTTACAAAGAATAATTACAACATTAAAGGTTTTCAGTCTGTTTGATAAATGTCACGGTGTGTTTTCTCCCGAGTGTGCGTTCCTGCTTACATTAGCTGATGTATACATCTTTCTTCCTGTTAGTCGAAGTGACTCACAATCAGTACAGCTCTGCCCCTCCCAACACAAAGAGAGTTGACGGCAGGGCCACCAAAGGGCCAGTTCCTTCCCCGCCAGCATATGCTTCTTCTGCCTTCCTGCTCACAGCTCCCTCATCTCCTTCTCGCCCCTTTCCCTCCCCTCCTGTTCCTGGGCATGAGTAACGGTGCCACCCCATCCCATTACCCTCTCAGTCACCCCCATGCTCAGACCTTTGGTGACACCTGCTGAGCCCAGCCACGCCACAGACGGCCACCTCCCACAACCTCCACAGGCTCCGACAACTGATTGTGTACGCTGATTGCTGAACATCATATATTTTTCTTTATTTTCTTTTTGCGTCTTCCTACAGTATGTTCACATTTCCGCCTTCTCTGTTTCTTGAGGCCATCATCAGCGGAGTGTGTTGTTCAGGGGGTTTGGGTAGCGCTAGTCTATTTGTGTGAGCAAGGTGCTGTTTCTCCCAACAAGTACACCAGAGGAAATGGAAGCAAAGATCTTTTTGATCATATACTCTCAAAGGAAATCTTTGATTCCGGGAGCTCTCTCTCTCTCTCTCTCTCTCTCTCTCTCTCTCTCTCTCTCTCTCTCTCTCTCTCTTCCTTTTTTTGTTTTTTTTTTAGATCTCACATCAGAATTCATCACCAGCATCAGGATGGTGGTTAAACTGCTTCCAAATGTAGCCACTGATCAACATGAATGGGTTGAAATCTCTTGAGAATTTTGGCAATTTAGCCTTGAAGCAGACTATGACCAAGCTTAGAGAGCATTGTTTACTTTAGTTTTTCTTTTTCTCTTTTTTTCAATCAAACTTCAATCACTGATTCTCTCTCCAGTCTGACTCCAACCAACGAGGATATTCCTAAAGGTTTTCCAACATGTAATCAGAGAGCTCATTCCAGGGACATGGATTGACTCACCCCAACAATTTATCAAGCATAAATTAGAGACTATATTTTCTCTTTTACTCCTACTATATAATATTCATAATGGAGGAAGGTTGATTATTATGAAAAGGGATATTATTTCTCTGCAGTCTGGCAATGTTTACATAATGAGGTAGACTACAGAGTTTGAATGTAAATGACCAAAATCAGAGGGTTTTTAATTGTCATTTTATTTTCTCAGTGAGTCTCACAGGTTGTTTTTAGCAGGATGACTCATATATCCTCATATATTAAATATAAACAGAAGATCTTGATTTATTTTAAGGTTATCTTCTTTGCCAAACACACAGCAACTGCTCCTTTTATTACTGACATCGAAAGTGTGTGTTTCTGCATCAGCTGCATAAATAAAATGATAGCTTGTGAAGCTGCAAGATAAGGAAAGGAAAATTGTTTTGCTGATAGTTCTGCCCGTGTTCACATAACTCTTACCATTTAATCACCAGCAAAAGATGCATTGCAATTTTAAATGTGAATAACGATGTCATTGCACGCCACAGCAAAGGTAGAGAGTAAATTGATAGCAACTGGGAAAGTCAAAGCTCTGTTGTCATGTAAAAACTAAGAAAAACACTTTACTGAACAACTTTACATTTTTCACTTTATGTAGCACTTGAACATATTTTAATAAGCCTCAGGGTTGCAGTATTTTCCCAACCATTAGAGGAGCCTTGTAAATCCGTCAAGGTCAGAGCATACAAATCACAGAGGTCTTTTCCTGTCAATGCCATTATGGTAAAATGTAGAAGTGTATCTGAAAGTAGCAAGAGGCAAAGTAGATGTACAAAATGCTCATGTTTGCAGAGACTGTTATTGTGGAGTTCGAGATTGACAAACTTGGGTCGAGCGAATAAATGAACGAAGCAGGAGATGACCGAGACAGTTTGAAAGTGGATGGGAGGAATGACGCCATGTGAGGTGGAGGTGTGAATCCCCACTCGAGCTGTAATGAAAATGAGAATGTGGCTCTGCGCCACAGGATTTGCCGGTAATTGGTTTAATGAATGCATTCTGTTGCCTCTGATTGAACACATGCCCTGTGTTCGCTCCTAAAGGAGCCACACGCATGTTGTCTTCGTTTATGCTTGCAGTCTCGCTAACTTTCGCTATCACCTCCTCTCACAGACAGTGGTGATCTGTCCACTGCTTTCCATCTGTCTTACGCTGTCTTTTGTGAAGGTCATACTGATTCTCCTTTAGAAAAGAAGGAGGCAATTAAGCACTAAGATTGTTTCTATTGGCCTTTTCCAGCTGATGGACTTAGTGACTGATCTGTTTGTGTGTGTGTGTGTGTGTGTGTGTGTGTGTGTGTGTGTGTGTGTGTGCGTGTGTGTGTGTGTGTGTGGTTGTGTGTGTGTGTGTGTGTGTGTGTGTGTGTGTGTGTGTGTGTGTGTGTGTGTGTGTGCGTGTGTGTGTGTGTTCCCTCTCTGCAGATTGGCCTGTGGCATTCAGAAGATGGACTGTCCATGGAGAGAAAGCTTCCATCAATCAATGTGACAGACACCCTCTTCAACACTACTCTTACCATCACGACAATATTAGTAAGTACCACTGTATGCACACATCAGCAGCAGTCCATGTCATTTTATTAGCTCAGCTCCTGGGCTGATCTACATGTGGCTGACATTCTGTGGTTGACAGACAATTACCATATCAAAAGCCCATTTTGTATTTTCAGATCCAAACTCAGTCCTCTTGGGATCAGAGGAACTGATGCTGCGCGATTGTTTTGCCCTGAGTACTTCAGATGAGGCTACATCACAGTGCATCAGCAGGAGCTAATAATTTACCGTGCCAACCATTCTCAGCCTCTGTAGTAAATATAGATCCTTTGAGCTCCCTTCACTGTGCTACCTTTTTATAAGCAATGCATCTTTTAAGCAACTTCCTGCAATGTTAATGATTAATAATCTGTGAATCCTTAAAAGCTTATGAAATACAAAATGCTTTTCCTCAATGAAGGCTTTATTTTAAAGGTTGGCTTTGGCTATTTTCTTTTTCAGCAACACCTAAGTAAATTGGATATCTGAATCATAAATTAAATAAACACAAGTAAATTATTTAAATAAGATTAAAAAGGGAAACAATACTGTCACTCAGAATTACTGCTCCTGCCTGTTGTTATTTAATTCAAATGAGAAAGCGTAATAACTTTAACTTTATCCGAGGACAAATTGGATGACAGTAAACGCGCATGGCACCTAAAACATCTCATTCTTGTATTAATGAAAAGGGCTATCAATATGCTTGAATCAAAGTACTTTGTACAGTGTTTCATCTTACAGCAAAAATGTTTATAGCTGTTCCAAATGGCCACATGCGCCTCCCAAATCTCTCTCCAAAAGTTTCTTAGTCTGGACACGTTGAATTGTAAAAACAGAATAGGAATAATGGTGAAAGCATTTATGATGTTGAACATGATGTTGTTCATACCGAAAAAGATAAAAGTACTTTTGAAAAGAATCAAAAAGATTTTAAGAGAGAAGTTCAAATATTGAATATTTCCTCACCTGCAGACTTTTTTTCGACATCAGAAAGGTGTGTGTGGTGGGTGCTTCAGATGCAGTTTGACAATCTGACAGGCACTTCGTTTGAAGCATATTCAGCCCCGTAGCCTACAGATACCTACAGATATGTCAGCTAGAACTCCTGGTTATTATTTATTAGCATATCAACATGCACAGGGGTGAGTCATAAGCTGTTCACGTATCTGTTCACTGTAACTGCTTCTTGATAAAAACGTCCTAAAAATTCAGCCACTGAAACACAAATGGAACTAATGCCTAATGCAGCCTTTGCACAGTTAATATATTCTTAACAGTGATTAATTGCTCATCAATTAATTGCCTACCTGTTTTAATTAGTTGAGCAGATGTTTCAGGAATTTCCAAAAACTTTGTGAGAAGTATATAATGCTGCCTTCAGTAGCTTTGATGGGGATTCTGTGTGTTGATGTGCTACTGTAGAACATCAGAGGTGATGAACGGATTCATGTTGGAACGACATAAAACCATTCAGATTTCCAGTCAGCTGCGTGTGTTTCATGTCTTTCTTCATCCCTCGATACACACGCAAACACACAGACAGTCGCACGCACAAACCTGTCAGCTCCTCCTCCCCATTGATGAATCAGACGATAAGACACAAAGTAGCTTGTAAGCAGAGACAATTGTCCCCAATGCGTTTTTCTGAGTGGCTGGCTTATCAGCCGCGGAGCCGTGGGAACGAGGGAAGGACATATTGCCATATTTCGCTACTGAACAAGTCACTGGTCTCATTGAGACTGATTGGGATTCAGATGGAATGGTTCATTTCACACAGGAGGGGAAGGGCACGGGGACGGAGGGGGAGGATGGAGATGTGTGTGTGTGTGTTTGGGTTGAGGGGGAGTACAAATGAGACAATGTTTTCACAACAGAAAGAGGGTGTGAAAGAAAGAATTGGCCGAGCACAGAGCTTTGATTTCACTTTGGAGATATAGAGTCCCTGGACCAAACTTCGGAAGCCACCAAGGAGCAATTTTCAGTGCCTATCACAGCTCATTCATCATGGTGTGATTGCTGTGTCGCTGTTATCTCGCTTGTGGGCGGCAGATGAGCCACAGCTGAAAGCCTCCATAAGAAATTCCTTACCTGTAGCACTGGCCTGGCAGACAGTGTGTGTTTGTGTGTGCTTGCACTAGCACTTACAGTATTTATGGATGCTCTCTTCCAAGCATTTGTGTGTGTACATTCAGTGTTTGTGTGTTCATGTGCAGATTCACCTGGCCTTTACAGGGCAGTTTCTTTACACCTACACATGGCCATCGTCTTCAATTTCACCAACAGCTTTAGGAAAGAATTGATTATCACTTTACTGCTGGGCCACAAGCCATGTGTTTGTAATCATTGATTGAGTTTGTTACAGGCACTGTTTAGGTCTTAGTGAAATAATGTCTTTATACCTTCAATAGCCACACTGATGTAATAGAAAAAGCTCATTATATCCTTGAGATAAAATTCTCTTGGTTGTGTTGTTCTAAATCGTGTGTGGGTCCCTCTGTTCTGAAATGCAGTTGTTTGTAATCTGTTTTCATTTCTGTATTTTCAGTTTTTTCTAATCCCATGTGGAGCTAGTGGATTTGTTCTCAATAAAAGACATCCTATTACTTTTTGAGGAGACCTTTCACCCAGTTTGTGATTCTAAGGTTAAACTGGAATCAAGGTGCATCAATGAACAAGCATACCGGCATCCATGCCAAAGGCTCTGAAGCTGAGAGCATAACAGAGCGAGGTTCAAACACTCATTCAAACACACACCATCTTTTTTTTCAGCTTTAGTTTCATTCCACGTCTCACCCTCACATATGTGTGAAAGCTAACCACCATTAACCACTAACACTTTCCCTAAAAATGCACCTCCCACAACCATACATATTTACATTAGATGAGGCAGAATAATAGTAACATAGGCTCTACATCGCGCCTTTGCCTTTGCCTACGCAAGTGGCCTACACCGTTTGTACTTGCTATACGTAGCACTTGGTGGTAGGGTTTCTGTGTCACTGTGTTCAAACAATGGCGACTGAAACTGAAACACCGCCTCCTGTACAACGAAAAGGACGGGGGAATACAAGGGTACAGATAGAGTGGGGCAGCATCCCTGTTTGTCTGTGTGTGTGTGTGTGTGTGTGTGTGTGTGTGTGTGTGTGTGTGTGTGTGTGTGTGTGTGTGTGTGTGTGTGTGTGTGTGTGTGTGTGAGAGAGGACACACTTGTCTTAGAATGTGTGTTTTTGAAGATGGATTCTCAAACAGTATTATGAACTCATCTGGGTTTGTCACAAGTCGCCTCCCATTCCCTGACAATGCCCCACACACACACACACACACACACACACACACACACACACACCAGGCAGACAAATCAAAGTTGCGGTCTGTGTCACTTCGATGTGTAGTTAGATTTCTATGGAGGTTACAACTTAGAGTACGAGACTATGCTGTACGCCGATTCAATGCAGAAGTATAAATCAGGCTGTACACACCAACCCTCCCTCCCTCCTTCCTACCATGCACACAAACAAACAAGAATCATTGATTTTTTGTGAAACTACAACAGCACAAAATAAAAGAAAAATAGAAAATACTAATCTGAGCATAAAGCCACCAGTATGTGTAGAGCATTTTCCAACTCCCCCATACCTCCACCCAATCCACACACACACACACACACACACACACACACACACACACACACACACACACACACACACACACACACACACACACAGCCTATGTCAAGCATTTGGGATATTTTTCAGTCGGTCATGTAAATACTCGTGGTTATTATGCCACTAGCTAATCATTAAACAGCCTTGGATGGTAATATATCACTCATTTAATTAGGCTCTTAAATACTACCCACCCTCATTGCTCACAGGTTTCAGGACTGCTTGTTTTTGCTCGTTTCTGAAAGAAATGAAATGGAGCAGAGCTTTACCTGTAGGGATATTTCTCTTTGCTGCCAGCTTGTTGCCATCATACAGTCACAATATTTAAGTCCCAACCTAAGAAGCATTTTTCTTGTTAATGACTGAAACCTGCTATAAGTCCCTAAGAGGCATTTCTTCCAACTACATCACTCTCAGGTCATTCCCTCAGTTTTCCAGCAGACTGCCCTCCCAGAGCGCTCTCATATCATACTTATTGGGAAGAATTCAACACTGCACATAGTGCCGACTGATAAAAGCAGATGCAGATTTACTGGCACACGGGACTCAGTGGCTCTGAGGTGTGTTAACATGAATTTGCACACACAGAAACAAGATCTGTCCCCATTTCTTAATATTGTCTGTGTGCTTGCGTTTGTATTTGTATTTGTTTCTATTTATTTTCCTGTAAAGTACAAAACTGTTCAAACTTACAGGACCTGGCCTTTTTTCTAATGACCTAGTATTTACCCAAGTATTGTCAAAGCTTCTGTGGCTCTTCTTCAAACGGGACTACAGAACCCTGTGAGAGAATTATATCTCTGCTGCCAGTTTGCCGGGCTCTGGAGAGCAAGTTTTTAAGGATAAGAAAACAGTTGAGGAAAGCGAGGAGGGTTGTGTGAAGACATCTTGAACAACCTGAGGTTTTAAAGGGGGAAACTCCACCACGGTGTGTGAAGCTCAATGTGAACAACACCCACCAGTACACCTGGCATCTGTGTCTGTATATGTGTGTGTGTGTGTGTGTGTGTGTGTGTGTTTGTGTGTGTACTTGCTTATGTGTAAGAGTGTGCTTCTTCCTCCAAAGTTATCAGTCCGCAACCAGACTCCTCATGGCCTGGAAATAAGAGGCTGCTTTTAAAGTCTGCATTTCTTTATGGCTTCAAACTCATAGCTTTATTGCTGTTTTGCTGTGGTGTGCAAAAAGAAGGTAGATGGAAGTTCCTTGTGATTTTGCCTTCATAGAAGACAGCACTTTTTTTACCCCTGCATAGACTTTTCATACCTTTATATGGTTATTTTTATATGATTTTGTTCTCAACTTCACAGAGGCTTCTAGTGGATGTGGTTCTTTCAGTGATTTTTTGTCAGGGTTTGGTGGAAGTTTTTTGGATGAACTGCAGCAGATATATGAACTTTCAATCGTAGTTGTGGTTCCTTGTTTTGCAGCCCAGCACAGATATGGTTCATAATTTTATACAACTGGAGCTCAGTAAAAGAGAGACAAATTGAAACTAAAGATGACATAGAAAAAAAGCAGAGGAGTAAAAGGAAAAAACAATTCTGTGTTATTGATTGCTGTTGGGTTTTTACTGGTGTGATTGATGGATGTTTGCCAGGTCGGATTTTATTAGTCTGTACTTAACCAGGTCAACACAGAGGGGTGGAAGACAAGATACAAAGGCAATATTTTCTAGCCTTACTCCAAGAGATTGAGCTCCCTAACGGCCGCGGCCATTTGTTATAAATATAGAATTCATTTACCGTTCTCCACACGCATAAATCAACAACAAGCTGGAAAGTTAATTACAGTTTTTGCTTAATTAATTGTTGTTGTAGGGCACAAACATTCATTCATCCAGGCGCATTACTGGTCCTCTGTTCTGTCAGTGTGAAGAGCACTTAGCATCAGGTTTGTATGTTTCTTCATGTCTCTCCTGTCCCTTGGTCCGGCTCACGTTATGTACAAAATGTCTATGAAAGCCAACCTCTGTAATAATGTTGTGGAAATTGGAATGCGAGTGAAAACGTCTGACTCGGTCTGGCTTGACTGCAAGTCGGTGCTTGGAAAGCTTCAGCAGTCTGTGAGCTGTGAAATTAACATTTATATTGTATTGCATGCTGAAATATGAGCATACATTGATTTTAGGCCAGTGAGGTGACCTGTGTGGCTGTTTTAAGGAGTTAATGAAGAGACGGACAGATTTATGTTTATAGATTGGTGCATACAGTCATTAACTGGCTGAAAACTTGACTGACTCCGACAGGGTTCCCATGCATCCTGGACAACCTGGAAATTTAGAGAATAGTTTTACAGTCATGAAAACACCTGGAAATGGATTAAAATGATCAAATATCATAGAAATGTTATTCTGAAAAAAGTAGTATAGAGTATTTTATCCCCCTTCCACTCAAATTGCCTACATAAACCTGGCTGCGTATTTAGATTGAAACTTGACTGTTGGGAGGATAAGCTGCAAGGTATGACACTTTATAACTGGAGTTAAATGTGTCGATACTAGGACTACCGCTGAATTATATGACGATATGAATTATTTGTGAGCAAGTGCTGTCCCATTTTGTCTAGAAAAACTCCCTCGAAGTGTCCTGGAAAATGATTTCTTAAAATGAGTGTGAACCCCGCTGAAGTGTTTTCTTTCCTTTTCTACTTCTTAAAGGACCAGTGTGTATGATTTAGTGGCATCTACAAGTGAAATTGCTGATTACAACCCAATGAATACCACTTGTCTTCCAATCATCATAATATGTAGTAGAAACTACGGTGGCCACGAAACTCAAAAAGTAAAAATATATGTATGAATATTATACTTAATTTCTGCCAATAGATCCTCCTAAATATTACTCACTGGATGACTATATGCTATTGTACCGTTATTGTCAATAAATCCTGTGAAACGACTAAAACCAACAATACTGACTGTCTGTGGCCTTTAACCCTAAGAACAGTCGTTTCTGCTGAAGACATAAATCATTAAAAAACAGTTAAAGAATATATAATTCAAGAAATTACCATTATAAGGCTCAAATATGTTTTGCAGCTCCAGTAGGATTCTTCCTTTTTTTTTAGACAAAGATGTCTCTTTTGGTAGCAAAGGTTGCTGACTCCTGGTTTAGACACTCAATCAATGCTTGGTGGAAATTAATGTTGGGAGAGAACATGGTCTTTTCTGTTGTAATATAGAAAAAAATTAATCACATCTTTTCTCAACCTAAACCAAGGTGCTGTTGTGAACCCTGGTGTCACAGTCTCACCATCCCACCTGACTACCTCTCTATGACTTGTGTGTGGTACAAAAATGTTCTTCACTCCAAAATAATATATAATATTTCCCAGCGCAACTTTATTAAGCAAACAAATTAGTATTATATAATTGTAATTTCTGGGAGACAAGTTTGGAACTTGGTGCCCATGTTCATTGTGATAAGGGAACATGTGAAACAGTGTGGCTCATTGATGTGTTTTAAATATTTGTTGGATAACTGTGGAGCTCTAGGCTTTGTGTACACAGGCAATACTTGTTATAGTGTTGAATTCATAATTGGTTTTGATCCTTTTATGGAGTTTGTTGACAATAATAAAATAAAGAACATCACCAAACTTCGGCTTTGACATACACCATGCTGCCCATTTACTCTCACATCTTGTAATATGGGCTTTGTCATCTACCTCTCTCTGTAAGACACTGCAGGTTATTGTTGCTATGCAGCATGAACTGTGAGCCTGGTTGGATAAATTGAATCCATATGCAGATACTAGGTGCAGCCCCGAGAGAGTCGATCAGCAGTCATTTTATTCTCATTCTTATCACAGCAGAGCAGGAAGCTGTTGGTTCTACTGTCCAGTGATGCAACGAGAAACAGGCGGAGCTGCCCGATGCAGTGTCAAAGTGAGACGAACCCCCCTCTGTACACAGCTACAGGTGGAACCAAATGGTTGCTATGACAACAGAGCAAGTCACAGAAACAGCTGTGCCACCTGATGTGCACCAAGTTCTCAAATATTCCCACTTTCAATGTAACTACTATTTTTGTGGCTTTCACTGTGAGGCAAATTATTCACCAGTCAAGCAGCTACCACACAAATAAGTATTTCCAGCTGCGTCGATGACAAAACAATTTCACTTTTATTCCACTCAAAATACATCGTCACAGCACTACTGCTTATGCTTTACCCTCCTGAGAGCTGTCACAGTGGTTTTAAATGGCCCACACATGACTGTGTGGTGAATTGCAAGCACATCGCTGGAGGCGTTTATGTTAAAACCAGTAGTCGTCAATCTCTTAAACAAAATCATGTTTAACAAAAAAATTGTGTGCTATTTTAGCATAAACACACAAACCTCTGTTAAAATAAAGCCACCGAAAACAACTTAGAGTTTTATTTTCCTTTTGTTTTGTTTATTTAAAAAAAAAAAAAGGCAAGTGTCAGCACAAGAAAACACTTAGACTTGTTAATCATTGTTATCTGATGTCTCGTTGCCAAAGTAAGTTACTTTTAGCTGGATTCACAGGCTGAGTGCAGGGGTAAAGCAAGAGCAAAGTGGTACATAACGCTGTCTTTTTCATGATGTAGTGCAGCCTGAACGTACCAGTTTGACAGTTGCATTATTTGAAAAATAGCACAATAAGGGTGGCTCCAAAATACATCACTGCGGGGCTCTTTAAATCTTCCTACAACATCAACTAAATGACAAAACAAGACATAAATAAACACACAGGCGAACAGGAGAGTTGGTTCTCTAAAAGACAGGTTGTAAATACGTGTGTGGTGGGGATCTGTGTGTGTGTGTGTGTACTGGGATGAAAACTGCTTCTGTTTCTTATCCTCTTTTTGCTGGATATAACAAATTAGCACACGCCTGTCTGTTCCTGATTTTAGTGCCTGGCTCTGCTTCAAATCCACAAATATCACTTTTCATTGAAGGCGGTAAACCTGACGTGAACTATGACCTCCAAAGGACATATGGGATGCTTCCACCATTCGTCCTGACTGTAAAATCTGTAGCAAGGTTCTGTAAAGCAATCACATTAAACATTAAAGAGGCACTCCAGCGATTTAGTAGCACACTTACATAAAGTTGTGGGTATTTTCAAGAGATTTGGCAAAACCGAAACAACAGTCTAACATATCCTGACATTTAGTCTCAAGTACTGGTCAAGCTCCCAAAAACATTATAGCCCACATTTCACATATCTCGTAGCGTATTTTTATTAGACCCATCCTCTCTGGTAAATGCCCACAACCCCACTTTGTAATACAAGCTTTCTGCTAAAAGGAGAGTTAGCCACAGAAGACCTGTAAAAAGTAAATGTGTCCCTTTAGAATACAATACAAAGTACATTATTTTGTATCTTGTCTGTGCTCCATCTCGCTTTGTCACGCAACCACTCATACAAGATGTACTGTTCACGATGCAAACTCTGTATGTTTTTCAGGAGAATCCGTATGTGATGCTGCGGCCGAACCACCAGGAACTGGAGGGAAATGACCGCTACGAAGGCTTCTGCGTGGACATGCTGAAGGAGCTGGCAGATATTCTCAAGTTCAAGTATCGCATCCGGCTGGTCGGAGACGGGCTGTACGGAGTTCCTGGAGCCAATGGAACGTGGACCGGCATGGTTGGAGAGCTCATCTCAAGGGTATGTTTGGAGTCACTTATTGATTCCTTTTCTTCAAAAATGGCTCTTTTAACATAGATAAAAACTGTATAATTCAGACATCAAATGTATTATTTATTAATTAAAACAATTAAAACATGGGGGTCTTTAAGTAAGATCATTATTGAACCAAAACGGGGGGGGGGGGGAAAAAATTTTGGGTTTTTGTTTTTGGATTGAGTAAGGTTAGACTATGTTTATAATCATTATGATCATTATTTTGAACCAATAAAAGACAACGATTGAGGTGTCTTTTATGTCTCTTTCTTCCCTTTCAGTTGTCAGTCTGGTATTTTTTATTGCGAGAGGTGTTTTTTTTCTTTTCCCCCCTTTCTTTTTTCTTTTTGTTACCCATTGTACAGCGTTTTCTTCTCCATGTACAAAACATTACTTTTTTAGCAAACCCTGCACAAAATAACATCAATTTGTAAAGAGGACTTTCTACAGCCTAAAAGCATGAAAGACCATTCAAAAACATAGAGTCAGCCATCTGACTGTACCAAATCAAGCTTTTGTGACAGGCGATTCCAAACTTTTGAACAATACTGTGAACGTGTACGAACACCAATGTCCAAAGCATGTCCTAGAGGCACTCACATACACAGCCACACAAAAATGTGTCGCTCAGCTGTCATATAGTTCACAGCTAACAGCTTTCCTTCATGCCGTACACTCTTTTTCCATTCAGTAGTTGGCCTTTTCAGCTTAAGCATTGTATTTTCCAAAATAGTCATGGCTTGTTGGTGGCGTGTTCCCTGTCAGTTCCTTTCCTTAAGCCTTCTGAACTGACCTTAACAGACTTTCCCCCTGAATCAGGCTGTGTTGTTGCTGTTAAAACTCTTAAGTGAGGTTTTACACTCTTCCAGCTATGCTGTATGTAGCTGTTAACAGGCAGATGAGGTTATATAAGGGAGCTGATTATAGATGACTGGGAGGAAAAGAAGTGAAACAGGCATAAAAAGTGAGAGAGAAAGCTTGGGTGCGGAAGACAAGAAGAGGCATGAAGTAGAGACTGAGCCGATCCAAAGAGGTGATCTGTCTTAATTATGTGGGCTAATGGAGGGCAAAGCCATTAAGTATGTAAAGCAAAGGAGTGCCTGCTCTTGTTATTGTCATAGCCTGCCATCGCCCATGTCCCCGTAAGTTGACTGTGGAAGGCTGACCTTCAGGAGGGTCAACTCTCTGACAGCAGCTTGAGCTGTGGAGTGGCAAGGCAGGGGGCAGACAAAAAGTCTTGAGACGTGCTTGAGAGGGATTTGTCATGGGATGGGGGACATCTGGAGGGATGTTTCACAGTGAACAGAAAAGCTTGAGCTTGTTTGGTGAAAGGCTTAGAAAGGAAGATGACAGAGTAAAAAGATTGTGAAAGAAAACAAAGGACCAGCCATGGCTGCAAGTTTAATGAAAGAAAGTTGAAAAGTTGAAAGGATATGAAATATACACTTGGTTGCAGCAAAGGAGGACAGCCTGAGGTCACTCTGGACAAAAAGATACCTGTGTCCCTGCCAGTATCATTCAGACGGAAAGATATTTCACTGTATATAGTGTCAGCCTGAGCTAACAATGAGACATGCCAGAACCAAGTCTTAAGTACAGTATGTCCTGGTTCCTTAATCCACAGTGCTGCAGTTAGAGAGCAGAAGCGTACAGCATCTCCAAAGACTAAACTCTTGAAGTCAAATGCTACATCCTAGAGGGTAATGTTTAATTCATCCCTCACATTCACAAGTTTTATTTTTTTTATCCTTTTTTTGACGGGTTGGCATGATATGATCGAATGCAAGTGGAAACAGGTATGATGCAATATTGAACAGCCGGCATTGTATTGTTTTTGCCAGTTATACTAGAAGACATAACAGCAGGCCGGGAGAGGAACCCAGTAATCAATATTAATATTCTATTGTCACATAAATATTTCAGTGGCTGTTGCGACATACGTGTGTGCTCATTTTTCAAAGGATCAGTGACTTTCTTTGTTGAAATTGCCTGGATGGTCGTTCCCTGCTTGTGGCTTCCTCCCGGCGCTGGAAGCAGGATCATACTTTCAAACTATGGAGAGAGAAAAGAGATGAGGCGGAGGTGGGGCACAGTTGATGATTGGGGGGGGGGGGTCAAAGCCTGCAGGCTTGAGGATAGCGTGTCGGGAGTGTAGGCTGGGACAAGGTGAGAGAGGTGGACATTTTGGGGCTTTTAGGTGAAGCTCTAAATGTCTTCTTGCAGCGTTCTGAATCTTTTCTAAAGGTTAGAATAATTTTGGAAAGGCAACTCATCCATTTTAACATCAGGTCGAAATGGATGTTGTTGCTAAATTGTTCTTTTGCGTATAGATGCCCCTCTCCCGGTCTCTCTCTCCTGGTGATACAAACAATGTGTTGTGGATTTTGAGTGGCGTCTGCAGTGCTGCTGCAGCAGAGCTTCTTTCTCCTCACTCTCATCCTCCCATTCCTCATCGTCTCCCCAATCCTCTTAGTTCTCCTGCAGCGGACAAAGAGCAATGCGTTGCTGCCTTCACTCTTTGCTCCTCAGGGAGATGAAAAATCCCTTGCAGTTGCACTTTGCTGGCCTGTATTATTAGTAGGGAGCCATCCAGTATTCAGCGTACATTGACCATTTCTATGTCTATGTGTGTGTCTCTGTGTGTTTCTTAGTGTGTGTTTTACCAGCCGCTGCTTTGTCAAGTGATTTGTCTTGACAGCATTCCCTTGGCTGGCCACAATGGTTACCCTGATCTCTCTTGTGCCCTACACTCTCACACACACACACACGCACAGTGCCGATGCTGGATTATCCTCACCACAGATATCGCTATTGGCGAACAAAGAGGCTATGGGATACAAAAGAGCATTATTAGGGAATTAGAATCTCGTATCCCTCTTCTTATGTCATCCTCTTCTTTTTAAGCACTCGAATTATTGGTCATCAACTTACGTTTTCGTCCTCACGGCCATCAGTATGAGCGTATGTCTTTGACTGTGTGCTTACATGACATGACTTTACCTCTGTGTTTCAGAAAGCTGATCTGGCAGTTGCAGGCCTCACCATCACAGCGGAGCGTGAAAAGGTCATTGACTTCTCCAAGCCCTTCATGACCCTCGGCATCAGCATCATGTACCGCGTCCACCTGGTGAGTTAGCTCCCACCAGCCACCCCCACACACACATCCACACTCTTAACTTATCGAACTGTTGGACCTACCACAGCATGGTTTCGAGCCTTGTCTAATGGCTGGAAAAAGAACCACTCTCCCTTTTTGGCCTGTAAAGTCTATCTTTCTTAGTTTGTCTAAATCCCTCCACAAACTCTGCTCCCAAGTTGCACCTCATCTCCTCCTTTGCCTCTCAGCTACTCCCCTTCCACTGCATCCGTGTGCTTTCAAGGCTTCCTTCTTTCCTTCCACTCCTCCAACCCTGAGTCTCACTTTCTCACTACTTTTTATCTCCCCAGCATCCTCTCCTTTCTGTCCCTGCAGTCTGAACTTTTTAATAGTGTCCAGTTCTTCTCACTTCTCCTGCGTTTGCCCATTTCCTCCTTCTGTTGCTGCGGCCCCCCATCCTGCCAGCACCAGATGGCACGTTTTACTGTGTGAACTTCCTGATGAATGTAGCAGTTTCACAGTTGTTTTCAGCTTGCCCTCTGAATGGGTTTGGCCATCTTATTCACACGCGCAACGCCCTCCCTGCTCCACAGAGAGCAAGCCCAAGCAAGAAACAGTGAAATAACAGCAGTGCAGGTGGAAATGAGCCAGTGTTTGCAGAGTCAGTGGCCCATTAATCATCAGTCCTGCCCCAAAACCCAAGGTGACACAGCAGGGCCCAGTATGGCACTGGACACAGTCCGCACTGAGGAGTTCTGGCACGTGCGCTAGCTAGTATCCCATAGGGGCGTTTACTCACATTCCCACTTTCTTCTGTCTCCCCTTCTTGTAAACCTCCCTCCTTCTCACCTTCCCATAGTCAGCACACAGCGTTAATAGGTGTAGCCGTGAGGGACTCAATTGAGCGCCAACAGTTGGGGAGAATCAATCGATGTTCGCAGCAGGTGCAGTGTTAAATGGGCTGCTGGGTCGCGTATCACCTCTGAAGTGGGAGGCAGGCAGGCAGGCAGGCAGGTGGCAGCATGAGGAGGTGATATGGAGCTGATGTCCCTCAGTGCTGGCACACAGAGTCACACAGTTGAACTAGCACAGACTTGACCCAGTTGATGCCAAATTTCTGGGTAAGAGGGCAACAAGAAAGAAATGGAGGAAGCTATTATTAAGATGAATCAGTGGTGTGTGGAGTTTTGGAAAAAGACAGAGAGAAATGAGAACGAGATAAGAGAGGGAGTGAAGACAGGTGTCCCTTGTCTTTGTCTCTCTCTTCCGCCATCATTTCCTCATGTTCTTTTTACTCTCCCGTTGCCTCTTCTCAGATCTGACTCAGGGCGGTCCCTCAGCATGGCTCTAAAATTCGATATTTGAATTTCTGTGACTGCACTTGTTTAGTTCTAATCCACCGGTTATTGATCTGAGGCACAGTGATTTCTACAAGGGGGTTTGCTGCTTATTTCAAACTTTAAATGAAAATTTCAGTCTGATCAATAGGAAGGAGCGAATGCAATAAAATAAAGCTGCCTGTTGGGTATTAATTACCCTCGGACTATATCGGCCATTTAATTTCCATCTCTCTTCTTTGTCAGTATGTCTGCCTCTCTCTCTCACAAAAACGTGTATCAGGGCTATGACACACATTCTGGGCCAATCAATACAGGCAATATTTTTCTCAATAACAACAAGAAAGTAAAAGGCATAATCCTGTTTTGGCTAAATGACTCATGTATATTACAAAGCTATGTTAATATATATTATAATATCAGTGCCTTTAAGCATATATTATAATATCAGTGCCTTTAAGCATATATTATAATATCAGTACTTAAGTTTAAGTATATATTATAATATAAGTATATATTATAATATCAGTGCCTTTAAGTATATATTATAATGTCCCTGCCTTTCAGTACAATTCAGACCAGAGACAGCAAAAATAAAGACAAACAAACCTGGACTGAAACTCCACTGGTCCCTCCACTCTAACAACAATCAACTGTCATAGTCAGCTTTTTGGTATTCAGTATTCAGCACAATGGGAAATCACAACACTTAATTGCCTGTCGTGATTTTGTGTCAGTGTTTTATGTTACACAAAAAGACAGGGGATCTGATTCTCTTGTGGGATCAGTGTTGCCTCACATAGTCATGCTGTTGTAAGATTTCCGGGAAAACCACATAGAAAAAGAAATTATAGAAAGATATCTCAGACAGCTTGCAGCTTGTCTGAAGAAGACAAGCTCTACCTGTCTAGCTTCTCAAGCTGTCTTGTCTGACTATTTTGTGGCTGGTTGGGGAGTTATGATTATGTACTGTGTATACAGTCATGTAATGTTGTATATATTACATGGTGTGGTGTGTGTCCTTGGAGACATGCATGTGGTTTGAGGCCATATAAATACATTTGATTTGCTTTTACACACAAATCAAAGAGCACACCTCAGCAGCCCGTACTATATGCGAATTGGAGTTATGAACCCAGACGTAACCTAGAGCTAGTGTCAACCTCTTCTCATAAAAACCATCCCTCCCATTTCATTCATCATCTGTACAACAACACGCCATATGCTCTAAGCCTTAGATCCCAATACTCTGTGCTACTTCATATCTCTGCCAGTTCCACCATTTAAACATTTTCTTCATTGTGGGAAGTGTACTACAAGCTAAGTGTGTGGGTGTGTGCATAAGCGAAAGAGAGAGCGGCGTTTAATTAGACATAGGAGTTAATTAGGGGTGTGTGGAAGCCGTGTCAGATTCAGCAGCTGCCCTGAAGGTAGAGCGCGACATACGGTGCTTTATTGACTCTCTGGCCACACACGACCTCAGACCCAATTACACAAACACACCCACATAGTTTCACATGCATGCACACACACATACCAGTACAAAGACACACACTGTGTTGCACAGCCACACGCATGTACACAATACACAGACATAAAGCCAGACAATCTGGCGAGCCCAAGAGGCAACAAGATGTTGTTGTGAATATGACCCTGTGACCTCTGCCAAATCAACTGTTCTCCGCAGATTGCCCCTGCGGCTATCTCAACAACCGTAACAGCTGACAGCTACTGCTACTGACACAATTAGAAATGCACACACTATCAAAGAGCCAAGGAAAAGAAAGACTGGTTGGCGAGACATGGGGAGGGAGAGGAAGAAAGACAACATAAAAGAGAATGAGCAAGAAATAGGTGGAAGGAGAAGCAGAAGGGGTGGAGAGACGATGGAGAAATGAGAGCAGAGAAGCGAGCAGGAGAGAGCAAGAGTTGAAATGACAATGGGAAGTCTCCTTCAGTGAGTCAGTATTCAGGCAGGCACCCTCAGGGGGCAACAGTGTGGTATGAATACCAAGAGGCAGGATGACTAGGTGAAATCCTTGACTGGACAACCTCACCAGCTCCTTCAGCCACCCTCCTGGCATGCAGGCAATCCCTCGAGAGAGACAGAGAAGGGAGGGGCGATGGAGGAGGGACAGTAGGAAGCCGAGAGAAGAACAAGGGCAGTGCAAGGTAAAATGAATGAGCTCTTCATCTGCGTGTTAAGAGGAAGATGGGACATGCATATACTATAAAAGTAAACAATTTCTTGCTATTCTGTTAGCTGAGATGAACTCATAAAAACAGGTCGTAAAGGATTTTTCGCCCCCTGTACTGCATTCTCTTATGCCCTTTGATTTGCCTTACAGCCTTTTATCATCTTAACGTGACGATAAACCTCTATAAAATTAATCCCCTGCCTCTAATAAAAATAATTTAAAACAAGACAGCAAATGTTTGTCAGTGAAGAGTCCGGCTGTGGCTATAATGTATACTCATATACTCACATTTGGTGCTTGTTTATTGTAGCAGATTTAATATCTAACTTATGCACCAAGGAAATTGCTAGTTTGCTAGGTCATTATGTCGTATTTTTGGAGTCTTCTGCCTCCTCCAAGCGTATATCTTCCAATAAACAGTAACAGATGAGCCATGGTTGCTATATTTTCCCCAGCCAGAAGTCAACTACCTGCTGCCTCTGGTGCTCTCTGTGCACTAGGTTGCCCAAGCACGTACTGTATCTGCCCTGCTGAGGATGACTGACAGCATAGACAGCTGCTGACAAGCTTTGAAACACAAGCACACACACACACACAAACACACAGCTACTGACAGTCTGTCTTGCACACACAGACTCACCTTCCAAAACGAAGAGAGAGGAGACCACCTTTATGAGCTCACTGTTTAAACAATAATCCTCAGCCATTTGGATAGACTGGGAGGGTTTTTTTTTTCTTTCTTTCTTGAGTAAATGTCTCACTGATAACTTATGAACACTCAATATTTGCATACATAAGTTATTTATAACTGTGCTAACATCAGTGACACTGAACCCTCAGTTGCAGAGATGAATAAGATGTAGGCCCCTGTGAAGGACAGATGCACTGTTTCATAATTTCCTTACATCAAAGGAAACAGGAGTCAGTCAGTCTGTACTATGGACCACCTGTGCTCAGACAAGGATTCAGTAGTGCACGTACTGTGCTGTGAACCTGGGACGATGTGGCAAACCAATTTAAACCTGCTTTAACAGATGTTTTTGGCCATACAACAAACTGTAAACACAACATTAGTACTCTTAAAAAAGCTATTATGGCTAACTTGTTTGCTAATTGTTGCTTACAGTATTTAAACATCCAGCAGATAAAAAGCAACATTAGCATTCATTTGGATTCCAGCAAACCAGGCAAAGACACTCCTTTTAGCTCTGTTTGTGGTCACCACCTATTTCTGAGGGAAATATCTGAGTCTTCAGCTGCTAAATGCTTCACTGTGTTCACCAGCTAGTCACCAACTTGATCTGTCTGGTGTTTGGTGCTGGGCAGGAAGTGTGCAGGAGGTTTATCAGAGCAGGACTGGAGTGGGAAGGAGGCTGACAAGAGGGCTGAACCAAAACAGTAAAATCAAAATGAGCTAAAGTGGCATTTAATCCATTGTTAATATAAATGTGTTGATTAGTGCCCCTGTAAAAACATTACATCATGGCAGACATCATAGTAGATCATTAATTAAGCCTGTTCTTACTAGGACTCGGTCTGAAAGACCTAAGATGTGTGTAAAATGGAAAAGAAAATTATCCTGACACATTTTGGAAAGTGCACACAGATTTTCTTAAAACATTTTATGCAGTTCTGAATCTGAATTTCTGTGTGCTCATTAGTGTGTGTCTTGCAGTCTCACCGTGGATAATTTCCCCTCCAACTGCTGAAAGCATAACTTTGTCTCTGAGTCTTAAAGCACACATATTACAGCACCACAGTCAAGATTTCTCAGCAGCAACTCCTACTTTTTTCCTGTTGACGTTGTGATCTCTGTCTCTTCCTACCTTTCTCTCTGTCTCTATTTCTGAACTGCTCTCCTGCACCTTCACTTCTCCACCATCTGTTAGCATGGGAGTCTCCACAGCTCTCTTCATCTTAACAATAGCACCTTGGTGGGAGCTTAAGATGTGGACGAGCGGGGCAAGCAGTTAACAAAACGCTGGTTCAGCATGCACCAAACTGGACCAGCAAACAGGAGGACTCATGTCAGCACATCCTGCTGTTGCCCTAATAATGCCAGTGCCAACAAAAGGCAGTGTGGCAGTGATGGTCGCTTTACAACAGCAGTATCTCAGGACCTCTGAGATGGCCATTGTATGTTTCACCACTCCACTGTTCTATTTTCAGACAGTTATCATCATCATCATAAGCATTACACTCTATAGATAGACAGACACACATTAAGACTGGCAGGCTGATTTGAATCTCGCAAAAAATTATACTGAATCTCACAATCCTCCGCCACTTTCTGCACCACTAATATGCAAGTGATTACAGACGCAGTAATGAATTTTCATCTCTGCACAAGTCTAAATGGGGCGTTCGTTTATCATAACAAATGCCCACCAAAATAATTTCACCCTCTTGCTGAAAATTTAATTTCCGAGACCCTCAGAGATGTATTGCTGCTGTGTATGGCCTTTGCCATGTCCCCTAGGAGTACTTTATTCAGAATTTTTGTACAAAAATGATTTTTGCTGCATGTTGATGCAGAAATGGAAGATAAGGAATATCTATGTGATTAAGTGCGTCCCTTTCATAGCAACACTTGGACAGTTGGTTGTTTGATCACCTCCACTATTTAACTGTCTCGTGGGGCCCTGACAACCACCTCCATTTCATAGTCATTAACAGATGGTGGACGTGCGTCTGTGTGTAAATGGCTAATATTCCCTAGCTGGTGTTTGGTCAGCCAGGCTATATGCTCAACATGCACATAAGAAAAATGAGTACTCACAAACACACACACATAAATAAGTACACAGAATCACTCTCATACTTGGCGCTTGTTCACCAGTAATTGGTTTCATTTAGAGGACAATAGCTGTTGGTGCTGGATAATGAAACATTAGGAATTAGCCCCTATATTCCCATTGGCCTACTAGCTGCCAACCCTATTTCAGCCTCTTTATCTTCTCTACTGCTGGTTACCAGTCCAAACCGATACATAGCAGCCCGTAGCTGCTTCGGCACAGCTTGCCTTTCTGTCCAAGCCAAGCCAATTAATCTCGTTCCCTTTTTTTTCTCCAAGCTGGGACACAGTGCGCTCCCAGTCATACAGGAAGTCAACCATAGGTCACAGAAATGAATTTCTGTTTAATGTAGCTGTAATGGTTTAGTTGATTATTTGACCTTTCTCTCTCTACTGCATGCAACCTCATGGAGAGCCAAGTGGTGACTGTTGTTGTTAATAAGTATGACCTCCAATTGTGCTATGATTGGAAACTAATAATGTATCAAATGTAAATTCATGAGAAAGCATGTTATATACCAATTAACTGTAAGTAGTTAGGCAATAGTCAGTTAATTAATTTCAGTGCCAGAATCCCTGAAATAAAACCTCTTATCTGTGATTTTGTATCAATATCAAGCCCTGTGCCACTCTGTTGACAATTCATGGGAGACTGAGTTTGCGCTTTCATACAATGTTGATCTGAATGTTTACATGCAAATGAGATTCATATAATTATAGTGCTATCAGTTTAGGACAGGAAAATCTATGCTTATCGCATCAAAATCCCTTTATTTACTGTCCCAGTCACCTTTTTTATCTTTTCCAAATTACACAGGCGGCAGTAAATGTTGTTTAACACAGACCAAATTGGGCCTGGGGCAAAAGAATCAACACTGAAATTCAGCATATCAATTCATCACTCATTGTATGGAGGTTATGTTAGAGACTTAGCTGTTTTAAGTGAGTGCTTAACCTCTCACATCCTCATTCAACAAAAGTGATTTAAACATGGGATCAAACTGTTACGATCTGTGCAGGCTTTATTGAGTCTAACCCTGCACGTGTGTGTGTGTGTGTGTGTGTGTGTGTGTGTGTGTGTGTGTGTGTTTCAGGGACGTAGGCCAGGCTACTTCTCCTTCCTGGATCCCTTCTCCCCCGGAGTCTGGCTCTTCATGCTTCTGGCCTATTTGGCTGTCAGCTGCGTCCTCTTTCTAGTGGCCAGGTAAAGAGCTCGCCAGTAAATTATACTCTGTGCAGATGAGAGTGAGAACACATCTAAAGACAAACTGAGAGTACAGAGAGTAAGAGCACAAAAAGGTTTGTTTCAGGAGGAAACAGGTGTCTGTTCTCTCGCTTCTCTTCAGTCTCTCCAGTTGTTCTTCCATATCACGGAGAAAGAGACGTTCTCCTCCCAGTGGTGTGTCTCCAGCGTCATACTGACACCTGCTGGACAGGGAGGGAACTGGCGCAACTGCTGGTGCAACTGCTGGTGCACATTAGTATTGCTCATATAACGGAAACATTAAAGTGCACTTTATCTTATAAAGAAACCTTATATACTTACGTAACACCATCTGGAATCAAATTATCATTCCCCAGACAAGTGGATCTATTAACTCTCTAAATAGAGTTCTATAGGTGGTGTACTGTAATTGCCATATCAGTAACATCTAGAAGCTGAGTGATGTGATATGATAATGAAAATTCTATGAACAGTCGCTGTAATTGTTTCTCCTGTTCAGATTGGCCGGTAAAAGATCTCTTTCTAATGCAATTCCAATGGAAGTGATGGGAACAAAATCCAAAGTCAGACAACAAAAACAATGTTCAGCTAGAGAAGCTAATATGAGGCTTCAGTCTGAATCAGACAAAGCAAGTGGGTATCTAATTTAGTCTTTGTAGTATAAAAAACCTTGTTTTTGTTTCTATTCCTCCACCGCAGCTCACCAAGAAAGTACATAAAGCATTATTTATATAGCACTTTTTGAAACACACAGTTACAAAGTGCTTCACAAACAAATACATTTGTATGTATACAAATGTACATACACACACATATATATGCATATATATATATAGATATATACAATCATACACAGTCAAACATATACATATAAATACTAACATGGATGAATAAACAAGAGGAAAAGAATATGTTTAAAAAGAGACACAACAAAAATAAGGCAAACAAAGGAAAGGAGATGCCTGTAGAGGTGGGTTTTAAGGAGCTGTTTCAAACAGTCCAAAGATTCGGCAAATCTGAGTGACAAAGAAGAGAGAGTGAGTGAGAAAGAAGATTCCAGAGGGTTGGGGCAAAAACAGCAAAGCACGCTCGCTTTTAGTTTTGCAGTTGTGGGATGAACAGAAAGATTTGAGGATTGGAGTGAGTAAGTAAGTAAGTAAACAGAGTGAAATTTCCTACTAAAACTATACCCACTTGATTTATTAATGGATCTTTTCAGAGCCAGTATGAACAGGAGGATTACAGCGACCAATAACTTTTTCAATGTACATATGGGCATGTATGTATTGTATGTAGGTAGACCTAAAAAATGTGAAGTTGTCCTTTAAATTTCTTTTCCTTCGAACTATAAATGCTCACTTTTTTCTCTGTAACGTTGTTGTTAATTTCTTGATTTAAGGACGTTTTTAGCACATAACAGAGTTGTCACAGAACTTTAGCTTCATGCAGCATCATTTGAACATACCAATTACATCCCCTTCACCCCTGCTGTTTAAGTAGGCAGCACATGGGGAATGAAAAGGAGGCTGGTTCTCTCTCTAGAGAGCCAAGGTGACTTTGCACTCGGTTGATGTTGTTTTGCTCCATGTCTATCTCTCCCTTTCTGTCTTCCATTTTTCTCGCTCTCCGTCTCTTGAGTTTAGCTCGCGTCAGAATACATAATCCAACTTTCATTCCCGCTCTTGTATTCCTCCTCTGATACTCTCCGTTGTCTAACTCCATTTTCTCATTCCCCGCAGATTGACACCGTATGAGTGGTACAACCCCCATCCCTGTCTAAAGGGTCGTTGTAACCTGCTGATCAACCAGTACTCGCTTGGCAACAGTTTCTGGTTCCCTGTCGGAGGCTTCATGCAGCAAGGATCCACCATTGCTCCCAGAGCTCTGTCAACACGTTGTGTCAGCGGAGTGTGGTTAGTGTTGGCAACAGAGACACACAAACATAAGTGAATTTGCATGTTCTCAGCTTTCAAATCCTCACATATATACACCCATTTGGTTTCTGTTTTAATTTTGTGCATATTGCTCCATCATGGAATGCTTTTCATTTTTCTATGTGATCTTGAAGCCTCATTCCAGATTTCCAGGACATCATGGTTCAAGATGAAATAGTGATGGCAGTTGTGCATGCACATACGTGAGACATTGTCTGTGTACGTCTGCCTTTGCAGCTAAAACTTCACTTTCTCATCCACACCGAGCATTGTCACCTTCATCCATACACACCCACCCATTCATCCATCCACAGAAAATCCTGCAGTGTCTTCTCCTCTCAGGTGCGCGGTTATTTTCATCCTCCTACACTTTTCACCCAGACAATCTATCTTCATACACCAGCTTGCCCATTTACATACTTTTATAGGTGAATACATATGCTCTTGTCCCCTGCCTTTCCTCTACAGGTGGGCCTTCACATTAATCATCATCTCATCCTACACCGCCAACCTGGCTGCCTTCCTAACGGTCCAGAGGATGGAAGTGCCGATAGAGTCCGTTGACGACCTGGCAGATCAGACGGCAATAGAGTACGGCACCATGCATGGAGGATCTACAATGACCTTCTTCCAGGTCAGAGGTTACACGCACCGTTGCATGTGATAGATTGTTTATACTCACTGCTACTAATACTATACAGCCACACATATACACACAGACTCGCCTAAGAGCCTGCAGTGATCAATGGGCCATCAGTGATGTTATCCTCCTCATCACCTTCCTGTCCTTGCGGCCTTCCTCCTCTAACCACAGGTTTTATCTGTTTCCTGTCTGTTCCCCGCCACAACCATTCAATATCCTTCTCCTCAGGGAGATGGGGCACTGTCCAGGGCCCTAAGAGAGGCACACACTATCCTCTTTCATCCTTTCAAGAGTTGACCTTAGCGAGAGAGAGAGAGAGAGAGAGAGAGAGAGAGAGAGATAAGAGAGAGAGAGTGAGAAACAGAGTATGTTACAGGGAGAGAGACAGTGAAGGATGATATGGGGGGAAGGAAAGAGAGACATTATCCTTGTCTTTCTTTGTGCTTTCACATCCACTGGACCTTAAATAACTCAGGAAGACAGGCCAAGAGAAAGTAGAGGACAGGTTAGGATGTTAAGTGAAGATTCTGTTTGAAACTCTGAAGCTACTCAGGTGGGAGAAGAAAAAAAGTCGCATTTAACTGCAGCATAATTCCTGGAGAATCAGAGAGTTTGAAGAAATCCATCAGTCAAGAAAATAAAAAGGAAAACAAATGAAAACCAATCTGCACGTCTGCAAAACTGAAAAAATATGCAAATCTGCGGCCGATAGAGGTTTGTTTACTGACTCCCACATCTGATTGTGTCTTTCACTCCTGATCGCCTCTTGCCGCTCTGCAGAACTCTCGCTACCAGACCTACCAGCGTATGTGGAACTTCATGCACTCCAAGCAACCCAGTGTGTTCGTGAAGAGCACGGAGGAGGGCATCGCCCGCGTCCTCAACTCCAACTATGCCTACTTGCTGGAGAGCACCATGAACGAGTACTACCGCCAGAGGAACTGCAACCTGACTCAGATCGGAGGTCTGCTGGACACCAAGGGCTACGGCATCGGCATGCCAGTGGGTGAGTGGAGATTTAGAAGGGCTGAAAAAGTAAGGGAAAAGAAAAGGAGAACGTATGAGTGAACTCACAGACTATCAGCGACTAAGAGAGAAGGCAGTTTATTGGAGAAGTAGAGGGCAAGGGAACTTCAGTGTAAAATGAAAGCAGCAAGAGTTTTGCTTAAATCAATGTATAATTCATACTGAAGCGAAGAAAGGGGAAGGAAGAACAGGGGCATTAGTTGGAGGATACACCATAAACGTCACATTGGAGAGGGTAATTGAAAGTAAAGCCTCAGAAAAGCCAAACCATTAGCTGTTACCATGGGAGAAAATGATGCAAAAAGTAAGAAACTAAAGGAGAGTTACTGCTAGACTTTAATAGAGCGGCTGTTTCCACGCTGTGATGGGAGAAGTGAGGAGGAGAGAAAAAGGGAGTTTGAAATATTGTTCCTGTTGAACGTGTAACTGTTGCTGCTCTGAGAGAACAAACACAGGGTTTACTCACACTTTGATCTCAGGTTGAGTGAAAACTGCAGGCGGTGGGGAAAAACACACCTTAAAATAAACAAGATTAATTTCAATTCCTTTGATCTTTAAAAGATAGATAAATCCACTCTTTAGTGGATGTTCCATACTGCATACTGTGATGTGACCTGCGGAACACTGCAAAATCATAGCAAGCCCTTTAATCTTATATTTGAAATCTTTTTATTCTTTTGTTGAAACAAAGTCTTAATAATGGAGCAACATAATTTCACATTTTCCGCGGCAAATCAGAAGAAAGGGTCATGAAAATGTCATTTGATTAAACAAAATGAGTGTCTTTTCACTAAAAATAAAGGAGATTTTTTTTTGTCTGAAGGGATAGACTCCTTTGTTAGGGGATTTCTTGCAGTTGTGAGCGTATCCCCTCTCTTCCCTGCAGGGTCAGTGTACCGTGATGAGTTTGACCTGGCCATCCTCAAGATGCAGGAGGACAATCGTTTGGAGATCCTCAAGAGGAAGTGGTGGGATGGTGGCAAGTGTCCAAAGGAGGAGGACCACCGTGCCAAAGGTTTGTCTCCGGTTAATCCTCATCTGTTCTTCAGCTCCGCTTCAGCTTTTTCTCTGCCTCCTTTTTTCTTCTGCTACAAATCCCTCTTTTCCCGTCTCTCTCACTCTCACTTCTCCTACCATATCCCTTTGTCTCCAGGTCTGGGCATGGAGAACATCGGCGGTATCTTTGTGGTGCTGGTGTGTGGCCTGCTGGTGGCTATCTTCATGGCAGTGCTGGAGTTTGTCTGGATGTTAAGGCAGACACCAGGAAATGAGGTGAGAGAGGGCTATCTAACCTGCATCTGCTTTGTCTCCCTCTCCCGTCCCTGGTACCCTCCCCCTCGCGGAGCCACTAGGCTTTCCAGCTTCCAGCTTTGACAGGAAGTGTAGCAGGTTTCTCCTTCTGACACCCAACGTTCCTCCACCCAGCCTATGAGACATATTCAGCACAAAACCAAAGATATACCTCACTGATACCTCACTCAGAGTACATGCACTGTATGGGTTATTTTGTAGTTACAGCAGTAGAAGATTCATACGTATACATATCATGATACAGTATATTGAATGTAGTTGGAGCTTATTGGTGGTGAATTTGTTCTTACACGGTGCTGCCACTGAGATTGTGCTCATAAAAATAGTTGTAGTTGTTTTAGCCTTTACTCCTTCTTAGCCTTAATCCACTTTAACGTAAAAGATGTCTGGCATTGTGTGAACATATTCACTCCAATCCAAAAACCCAAACCAGAAGTCAAGAAGTAAATTAAAGATTTCTACTTTACATAGAGGAAAAAGGAACTAATAAGTATTTTTCATCGTGAAGAGTAAATATATAATCAAATAAATTTCAATGTAGCTTAATCTGAAGCGAAGACCAGAAAGCAATATGAGTGTGTCCGGTCTTGTGACAGAACTCCTGCTGTTTGAAGAGGCATTTTCATCAGGACACTTCCAGAAAATGATCAGTTCTGCCAGTGAAGGAGCTCTGCTGTGCTATTCTTGAGGCGGGGACACCATTAACAGAAACAAAAATGGTTGAACAATACATCAGAGAAAGATGTGCATGCAGTGTTATAATTACTTCTGATGTGATTCCCTCAAAAGATACTTGATAATTGTCTTTTCGAATGGACTCCACACTGTGACTTTAATTCAATAAACATTCAGAATGTGAAAGTCAAAAAGCAACTCATGTGATTTCTTCTTCTTGAGCAGCACAGATCGATGTTTCATTCCAACGTGTAAACCTTGTGTGTGTTTAGGTGTGTGTGTGTGTGTGTGTGTGTGTGTGTATATATATACCTGTGTGCATCTGTATAGTTGTTAGTGTGCTCATGTGCAGCATGTGTGGATTGATAATTAGTCACTGCTGTCTTGAGCATGTCTGTCATTGTAATTATTTGAGTTTACATACTGTAGATATCCACTGGAGCACTCCATCATCAGTCCAGGAGATAAAGTGTGTGTTATGTGTCTGTGTGTGTCTGAAAAGTATGTTCAAAGTTACATTTGTGCTGTTATTTTTACTGCTAGGTCCTGAAGCTACACTAGCTCGGTTGTTCCCACTATATAAAGATAACAATGTAATGTTATGTGTTATGTGTCTGTGATGTCCATCAGTCTGTCCTTATCAAGTCAGTCAGTCAGTGAGTTGTCTGGCCTCTCTCCCTTTCTCTCCCTCTCTTATCCCCCTCTCCCCTATCTTTTTCTCCCTGTGTGTGTGCTTGCAGCAGTCAGTGTGTGAGGAGATGCTGCGGGAGCTCCAGGGGATCGTCCTGTGCCGCGACAGCCTGCAGGTGAGGCGCCGGCGGGCGGCTTCAGTGATGCGGCCGCGGCCTTTACCCCTGGAGGAGCGGCGGGCACGAGCCGCCGCCGTCAGCCTCAGCAACGGCAAACTGTGCGGGGGCACCGGACTGCCTGAACCCCTCTCCCACAGACTTGCACAGGAAGCTTCCCTGGTTGCGAGGGGATGCAGCCACATCCGCATTTGCCCCGAGTGCCGGCGCTTCCAGGGACTGAGGATGCGTCCTGCAGGGGCCACCGGGGCCCTCCCTTCTCCCACGCACAGTGAAGAGAGCATAGAGTGGGACAAGACCACAAATAGCAGTGAACCTGAATAACGCCCAGCGATTCCAACAGGACTGACTTTCCCAGCAGCCACCTCTCTACTTTCCAGGGATCAGAGATCACATGTTTTTTTGATTCAGCCATTCGGAGCTTGATCTTAAAGGGTAGGACAATGCTGTGAACTTTGTTTTGCCCTAGAGGAAACAGCCAGTAGTCAGTTTTGGAATCTCCTTGGGTGAATTTTTTCCTTGGTCATAGGAGAAACTGATGAGTCTGTCTCGTTGTGGTCTGTCCCTGTTGGCCCTTTGTACCGTGTAAAACAGGACGGACAAAAACAGCTACGGGGCATTTGTACTATGCAGTATTTTCAGTCATTTATCATTGTGCTGTTTCTTTCTTTTCCTTTTTAAATTATTTCTGTCATCTGTTGGATTATCAGTACTGAATATTGTTATTCTATTGTTCTTAAGAAAAAACTTTAAACAAGTTCCTTTTTTTATCTGACAATTTACTGTATGAACGTATATTGCCTCTGAAGAGCTGCAAAGATGAACAGACTAATGCAAGGTCATCCTTCAAATCCTTTTATTTTGAAAGTGCCAAAAACCATAAGTATTATCTTGTGGCTGAAGAAAGCACCACAGCCTTGAGAAGACAACAAACTCAACTGAACCTAGAAAAAAGACAAACAAACAGAGACGTACAGACACATGGACTTATTTTATAGTAGTGATATTCTATTAAAAAATGTTTTAACTGTTGGTATCTCTGAAAGACAGCGATGCATGTCCAGAGGTGTTGGCAGGTGCTCATTGAATGATTAATTACTGAAGTGGTGGCTGAGTAGCTGAAAGGTTAATTTCCTGTTTTGAATACCTGCTTATAAACACGATCGCTACACACACACACAGACACACATACACAAAGACATCCATTTATTTCCTTTCTCCTCTGTGTTTCTTTCTCCTCCAGATGTCCTTCATCTTTGACGCCATTTATTGTCTCATTACCTGTCCTCTGTATGATCTCTCACTTAAAAATCTACACACAATCTCGCACCGTATTTCACTTAGAGATTAGGGCTTTCCCTCCATTCTCACATATTCAAGACTGATTCAGGTTTTATGAGGTTGAGCCAGTGAAACCGAATGAAACCCAGCATATACCAGAACCAACCAAAAGCCCCCAGTAAAGTAAAACAGTTTTTATATCAGCAGTTGACTTGAGTTCTTTTAAATGTCAAGTCAGTTAAAATTTTATTGAATGTGATGTTTAACACTCTGCTTTCGAGGGTTGTTTCAGCTCAGATGATCCTTGACATTTTCATACTTTTATTTTTGCGAAGAAATAAAAAAGACTAAAACCAAAATTACAATATAGTAATCAGGTCTTTAAGAGAAGAATTAATGCAAACTGTTAAAGAAACATAACTCAAACATGATTCAACTGTTGGTGAAATCGACTGATTGATCCGTGACTCTAATTATAACCTCCAGAAGTGAAACAATGAGAACAAACCACCAGCAACAGTATTTTCCCACTGATACGACTGGTTTGAAGGTGTTACTGTACGATAGCCTGACTGTTGCACAGTGGGAATCAGCGGTCATCCGCCTGTCTACACTGCTACTGTATTATCTCTGATGTGTCCGTCATTTTAAAATCTGCCCATCAGGTTCTGTCAATCACCATCCCTCAAAACTAGGCCGCCGACTCGACACAGCTCGAAGGTACTGCTGCAGCATCTCTCTTGTACTTTTATTAGCCACGTTTCGAGATCTGTCTTCATCACTCCTCACCCGCAGGTTGTCATGCTTAGAAAATGTCTGTATGTGTTCTTTTAAAAGAAGAATCCTGGAAAAGGAGTTAAAGTTAAATTGAGGTGTCCAATCTATTCATCATTCATCCTTTTTTCTCCCCTTCCCATTTCATTCCTGACATGTCAAAATCCCGGTGTATCCCAGAGTACCTCCACACAAATCAAAACCTCCATTCCGATCCAAAACCCTCCCACCCACAGCAGCGTCTCTCCTTGACACATAAGGAAGCCAACCTACAGCTTGCCAAGTTCACAAAAGAAAGAACAATCAAAAAGAAATCCATGATATAGCCATAAATAACTATCACAAGAGTACAACCCCTCGAAAGACAATAAGTTAAGCCTGGAACAAAACAGTTCAGCATCCCCTCCACATTCGGATGAATCTCCGACCACCACAGAACTGAAAAGTTTCCAAATATGAAAGAAAAGATTTTGAAAGTCAACCCACAGTTTGTCTCTAGAGTTCCTCTAATGGTACAAACTGTGAGAACTGATGAAGGAATAATAACCTATTGGGAGGAGCATTTTCCTTCTATGAGTACAAAGTAATTAATCAGAATTAGTCTCTTGCATTTTCGTTTAAATGTGTTTACGTTAATGTAGAATCATGATCACATATGTCACACTGCCACCTCATTTGTTTTACCATTTCAGCTGGACAGTAACATCAGAGTTCACCCAAACTGCCTCTGTATTTGTTAAGCATTTATTTTTATTTATTGCATGAATAGCCATGATTAGTGTGCTGTTTCACAAGCTGATGAACATGTGGATCAACCGCTGACAGACCTGGAGTGAACTGCAGTACTAGCACAATTGTACTAGTTTCTTTTAAAACAAATTGATGGTTCTGAACATTTGTGTGACTGGAATCACAAATGAGTGCAATTTCTATTTAGGGAGGCTTTTTTTTCTTTCTGCTCAAAAAGTTTTCAGACTTCAGATGGCATTTCAACTCAGGTCTGCAGTCTGAACTCCCACAAGAACACGCCGGTGTTTGAGACAGCACTGAATCTGCTTGATTCTGCAGCACATAGAAATGAATGGGAATCGCAGAGGCTTTATGTTATCATCTGCTGAAGCGTCAGTAGTGCCAACGCACTTAATCCTCAAGTAATGAACCATTATTGTCCCACAGACGGTGTGTGAATATAGTATGATCAACAGGGTTCCCCAGTAATGGTCCAAAGTGTTGTTACAGTCATTTGAGGTTGACTATGTTAATAGAACAGAGAGATACAGACCTACATGTGTATATAGTTTATATGGACACACTATGCCCTTTAGACACATACTATGAACACATAAAAACTCCACACACAGTTCATGTTATCTTTCTATATTTCTTTATATAATAACTTGTTAAAAGCAAATTGCCAAGCAAATAGCAAAAAAAAAGAGAGACCCATTTCATTACCAGTTTTATAAAAGAAGTTTCTATCCATTTGCCGAACGTCACTAAGAAACTCATGAGAGTAAGAAGGCTCTCGCTGCACCCGATGCTAACTTCTTAAACACTAAAAACATTTACAAGGGTGCTAAATCAAGCGTAGTTGGAATGAGATTGCCAATTACCTTGAAGGCACGAGGAGCAGTAGAGTAAGAATTAAAACAAATCCCACTGAAACACTGGGCGACCTTCGCTGGGACACCACTGAGAGAGATGGCAGGGTTTTGGCTGCTATATTTTATATGCTTTATTTTCTTATGTTATTTTTATTCCATTATAAATACATTTCTTAAAACAATCTCCGTTCTGTGGGGGTTCTGGTTTTGTCTCTTCTTTACTCTGATGTATTTGACCTTCTGATCTGTTTAGATCTGTCATGCTAAATGGCGTCTGAGTGCACTTTTTGTTTTTCAAGTTTTATTTACTCAACTGGGAGAAATATTCCCACCGTGCACCTGTTTTGTTGTGACATATACGCATGCAGAGAGGCGGTAGGAGGATGTATGGGTTTCTAGCTGAGTAAACATGGCGACTGTTGAGTCAACCAGAGCTGATGCATCTACCTCTCGTTTCTCTCCCATAACTGAATTAACGTCTGCAAACTCGGGAATAAGTCGAACAGCTGAGAATTTATGTGGGTGGGTGGGAAGTCTTAACGGAGGCTAATGAGTTTAACAACTCTCTCATGTGCTATATACGCATCCACTCACCCGTAGTCCATCTATCACTGTGATTTCCGGTGGATATGTCTCTCCTCAGGATAGTGAGTGAAAGCCACACAACACCCTGCATCTGATTTACGGTTTAATTCAGATTGCCTCTCCGAGTGCCTCTCTCACAATCTTTCCACTGCAGCATACGAGATGACAAGTTCTGTCAGTACATCACCAACCAGCATGTCACACACACACACACACACACACACACACACACACACACACACACACACACACATGCGTATGACTCGTGGTATGAAAACTCACTGCCACCTGTATGTCACTGCTGTGTCAAGTTTCATTCATCGTGCTTCTCCTTCTGTCTCTGGAGCTCCAGGTCCATAAATTCAGTGCACCACCACCACCACCACTGCCTAGCTGCTGTTGGATTTATGGAGCACATGATGAGCAATGAGTGCCTGCAGAGGTGTGTCAATCTACTTCACTCCTCATGCTTTACCCAGATGTAGCACATAGCAATACCAATTTCCCCCGTAGTTGATGTTATTCTGTAAGAATTTAGGAGTTACAGTGTTGTGAGTCTGATGCATTTCACCACACTAACCGCTCGCGTCCCTCTCCCTTGAAGGGTGGTTTTTTCTCATCAGCCCATTCCATGTACATAAATGCTTGTTTTGGCATTTCACCCACATGAAATTCATATTTTCTTAGCTTCAAAGCTCTCCGTCTGGTTGTAGGAAACCTGGTATATTTACTGTTTAGAATATTGTACATCTGCATTCAGCATTGTATTATTGCTTTCTTCTAGCAATTGTCAAATCTATTCATCCCATTTCTTCAATTGCATCCCTTTGTCAAACAATTGCTTTCTCTTCTCTGACAGCAGATTTCCCAAGGTTAACAGCCGCATGTATACATCCACTCCATAACAGCCACTAATGAGATCTGGATCTAAGGATACCAATTGAAAGACATAACTATCAGTGGAAACTATCTGATTCACAGTGAGACTGGTGCACATTTTTAAGTGAGAGCTTTCCTATTGATTTGCTGGTAATTAATTACAAAAAAAGGCTTGTTGTTGTTGTTGTTGTTGTTGTGTGCTCAAAGAAAAGGTATTCAGAGTGCAAGAATTCTCTCCAAGGTGAGATGCTGTCAAGGCTGTTATACAGCCTTTTGTTCCCTGACAGTTGTTGTTGAACATATTGACCAAAACATCTTGGCATTGTTTGTCTTTCAGAGAAATAAAATGGAGCTTCATTTACTTTGTCTTTCGTTCCCTCACTGTTCATTCCTGCTTTGATCGATGGCCCACAGATGGGGAAGCATTGATTACCTAGTTGGGTGGGTGGGTGGGTGGGTTTAGAGTGAGTGAGTGTGTGTGCATGCGTGGGTGTATTTGTATGTGAGCTCTCTCTCTCTTGCACTCGCCTCCATGGGAAATCACAGTGAGCGCATCCTTGATTCATCAGCAGAAGGCCATCTCGTGTCATCATTACCCAAAAGCTGAACAGTCAACAACAAGTCAAATTCCAGAGGAAGAGCAGCAGCAGGAAGAGACTCATTGTCAGGTATTCATCAAGAATATTAAAGCAGCTTTTATTGTGGAAACCAGTCTGGTAGGGTAACGCATAACAAAACCACCAGTCCTTCAGATGTTTTTTTTTTTACAAATATAACAAAACTCGGTTGTATTGAATGTTGGTAAAAAAAGTCTTTGTTGACCTTGGATTAGTAGGAGTTTGAAAGACTGAAGTGCACATCAGTCACTTTCCATAATGAGTCCACTTTTTTTTAGAGAGCATCATTTATCTTCAAGCAAATGCATCGATGACAGCAGCCAAACATTAGCAGGGTTCAAATTAGAATCAGTTCATTAATCATGTTCACCGTGGACAAAACAGCTCGTTTCTTTTTTGCCTGCTGGTTGTGCAACAAAGGTGAACATGTTTATACACTTGTGTTGTGTACTTAAGGAATTTAAAATAACTAAGTACATTCACTCAAGTATTGTGCTCAAGTACCATTTCATGCTTCTGTATATCGTGATTTTTACAGTCTACTCCATACCATTATACTTATTTGATAGCTATAGTTACTTTTCAGATTCATAATTCACATAAAATATATGAGCTTATGAATTGCGTTGTTAAAGCTTAAACCAGCTTTTGGCTTGTTGCCCCTTCTAAAACAGTATTGTCTGGTTGGGGCTGCTTGTAAAGTTTCAGATGTCTATAAGTTGTTAGCAGTTCTACCAAAGAGATATATCACCGCTAAACCTCTCAGATGGTTTTATTTAAAAGACCTAAAGTTCCTGAGTTCGAGGCCCAAAGAGCTCAAATCATAAAAAAAACATATTAGAGATGTTAAATATTATAAAATTGAGTATCAGGACTTTGTTTTATCATCTTTTCTGTCCTATTAATCCTCTCATGACTCCCTCCGATTTATCTTGTGACCCTTCGGAAGGGGCCTGACCCATAGGTTGTAAACCACTGGACTTAAATACTGAAACAAAGCAACTCCAGCTACAACAGTTAAATGTTACATATCGTGTACTAACAATCTATGCAGTATTATTTATCAGAAATACGACTGTACCTTTGTAATGGAGTATTATGACAGTGCTGTGCTGGTACTTTTACTTACTGAGTAAACTAGAGCATTTATATTCCCATAAGGAATACTGTTTTTGTGTTCCCCCACAGTTACACTGTGCTTATCTCATTTTGAGCATTGGGATGACGGCAGTCAACCCCATTAAACCCTAAACAAACAGAAACACATACTCTCAGAAGGCAGCAGCTCCTTGTGGTTTGAGGAGAAAATATTGGTTTTCAGATAAAGGCCTCTTGAGTTCCTGTGTTAATTGGTCGTTAGAGCACAGAATTATCTTAATCCCAGAGTAAATGATTCATTACCTCGCAGATGAGAGGCTAAAAAAATAGCACTGGGCCATGAAAAAGGCGCACAAATGGCAGCCTTGGAAGTAAAATCTGTTTATCTGGCTCCCCGCAGGGGAAGTCGGGTTTTATCGATGCTGGGCAGCTAAATCATATTTCCTGCATCATTAACTGTTATTTTGTCTTTTTCTTGTTATTGTCTATCGTTAGACTACCTCATATTGAACATTACTTTTTGTTTACTTTCTCTACTTTCACGTCTTATGAGTTGCGTTTTGTCACAGTTGTGGGTTAAGTGAAAACACTGCAGTGTTGTAGTATTACAGTGTAGCAGTGGGGGTAACGTTAATGTCGTCTCTTACGTCTCTGTGGTTCATGTGGCTACTTTCATCTTACACTGTATTGCCTGTTACCATATTCGGCCTCTGGTCCACTGACTCAGCATTAAACACAGCCTGAGAAAATACATTTCTATCATTGAATCATGATGTTAACTGTTGTTCATGTGCAGAACTCTCAGTCAGTATCTTTTCACTTCATACCATGTTAGTGTAATCTTTCTCACATACTTTTATTTGACATAATATCTAACCAAGTATATTTACACATATAAACACAGAACAGTATAACTCTCTAACATATTCTGGCCAACATCTCCCCGACCATAAACAGTCATTTGCTACATCTAGTGGGCATTACACAACATTACAGACTCGAACATGGTGAACTGATGAATACATGCATAGATAATTCAGCCTATTTTGAACTCTGGTGGTAAAATATTATATAATAACAACATCCATCCGCTTATTAAGCATAGTAAATCGTGGACGTCACTTTCATTTGAACCAAACGCGGATGCAAGAGTCTGATCAAATTGAACCAAGTTGTAGAAACAACATTGAACAAATGTGTCTCACTGGGAGGAGCAGTTGCCTTCATTTGTTAGGAGCCTGACTTTTAGATGTCCAGTGCGTTCAGGCCAAATTCAGACAGCAGTTCCTTGTAATTCTGATGAAGGGTTGTGCTCTTCTCCTCCCGTCCCTGTCGAGCCACAGACAGCTGGGCAGTCAGGCTGTCTAGAGTCTCCTGCAGACAACATCAGTGAAAATGAGATGCAAGCTGAAATTTTCTCTTTAAATCACCCAGTTGTCTAACCTGATATCCCTCCCTCCCCTTAACCACCTTTAACTGTGATGAGTTTCAGGAACGAGCTGATGAGAAGAGGCATAATTAGATTCTATGTCATACTGGGAAAGGGAGAAATAATGATAATTACATATTTAAATCTTAGCTCTATAATCACAGGCTGGGCTCTCTGACAGGGCTCCAGGCTTGACCACTTATCTTTGAAGATCTGCACACTGAAAACGTGCTGCCTGTGCTCAGCCAGCTGGGCTGATGCCTATAAAAGATCAATAGTGACCCCATTCAAGATTCTGCTTTAACACTGCACCTATAGATTAACATAACATTGTACTCAGGCTTCGGGAGTAATGGATTACATCTAACAAAGTTACATAATCAGGAGGCAAAAAAAGGTAAACAAATAAGTAAAATAATAAGTAAAACATGGGATTTTTAGGAGGATTAGGAGAACAATATACTACAATATACAACCAGGCACACTAATTTCACTGAAAAAAGCTTTACTGGATGGAAATTTCACCATTAGTTTGTCTTTAAAGCAGAAACAGGAACAACATCACAGCACAGAAAGGTTTTGACTTCCAGCTGTGAAAATGGTCCAAAGGCTACAGGAATTGGCTTCATGAAAAGTTTTTCTTTAAAAAAATTCACTGAGCAGAGCAGAGAATCAGACATTTCTAAAGTAAAAAACCTTGGTTTACATTTTATTTTTATTTTACACGTCTTTTTATTGATGTTTCTTTCCTCTTTTTTTAAAATTTGGTGTTAAGGTAATCCAAAAGTAATGGAACGTCATCAAGTTACATTAATTCAAAATTGTGATACTGTTACTGAGTTATTGACTACAAGTTATTGAATCAGATTAAGTTTTTAAAGTAACCCTCCCAACCACAACTGTACGTCATTATTGTGAATATTGTAAACCTGAAACAACCAGAAGGATGAAGGAAATAAGATCCATAAACCAACAGCAGATCTACACAACTTCTCATTTTTCTGACTTCTCACTTGTTGAACACAAGATAACTTCTCAGATTACTTCTCACATCTCACTGGAAACAACAGTGATGTGTATCCAGGCTGACCTGCAGATTGGTGTCTTGTTACTCCCTAAAGTCCTAACAAATTATGAGAGGACTAATGTTTAATGTTTGTTTAGGCATCCAAGTACCTGCTTATGACAGCAGAGCGAGTGCTGGACTGTTTGAAAACTGTCTGAGACTTTTGTAAAGTGATTTCCAGCAGATTTATTGGATAAAACTACGAAGTTAAAAAAAAAGAAGATTCGACTTCATGGCAGTAATGGAGGCGCAGAAGGAAAGCTGATTACAGCGCTGCGCCAGTTACATTACAGTAATCTTTCTGTTTAACACAGGCTTTGCCTTTTAAAGGAGCTTAAGAGCAAAACCTGATGACCACCTGCTGTGCCCTTAAAGCCCCCGTATGTAGGGATGTAGATTAGTATAAAAAATATTTTCCCCAGGGTTGTCTCATTATTCTACAAACAAAAACTCTGACCATCACAATAACTCATATAAAAATGTAACGCAGTGAGAGTCCAGGCTCAGCGCACATCTTGACCTGACCATGATGGAGAAGTGCCACTAACACTGCACGGAAAAGGGAAATACCTAACCATGAGTCATGTAGTGACATTCAGTCACTATACAAAAACAGATGAGGAAAGTGCTGCCCTTTAACAGGTTCATCCTAACACAAACCTGTACATGCAAGTTTACAGCACATGGGGCCTCAGACCTATAGAGGCCCATTAGGTTCTTTAAATCAGTCTCTATCAGCTTTCATTGTTGCGACTCACATGCAGGATCTTCTCGTAGTCTGTTTCCATGTTGTCCAGCTTGTGTTGGAGGTCAGCTATGATGGCGTCCTTCTCCTCTTCCACCTGTTCACGCTCTCTTTTCTCTTTCCTCAGTTCCTCCTGACACAGGACTGGGCAGACAAGTGCACACTGGCTTACCATCACTTTTAATTTAGAAACTGACCGCCTATGTCTTAATTAAAAAATGAACATTAAAATGATGTGTATTCATACCAAGTTCTTCCTTCAGCTGGCTGACCTCCTTCTCCAGCCTCTTCCCCCTGTTGGTCAGCTCTGTCTGCATGGTTTTGTACTGGCGACTGAGGTCTAGGATGACATTTGTGTCAAATATGTCAGACTTAGCCTTCCTTGCTGATTCACTTTGTAAGGCTAATGTAGCAATCAGCTTAGGCACCCGGCTAATTAGACTTTTTGTTCCTCAAAAATTACCCGAACCTTGGCAAACACGCCCCTTGTCCTCACTCCCAAAGGGATCCACGCTTTATCTCAGGTTATTAAAAGAGAGACTAATTGTTGATTCATGCCCCGTCTGCACCGTACCAGAGTTGACGTCCCTGTAGTCTTGTCTCTCGTGCTGCAGCTTCTGCTCCGTTTCTCTCATGCGTCTCCTCAGGTCAACTCTATCAGACTGGACCTTTATTACAGACTCGCACTGAAAGGCTGTGGTAATCACACAATAACACATGCATGAATTAACGTACAGAGCAGTGGCAGAGTGTTTTTTTCTTAAGCAGAAGTGGCAATAACTGGTAAAATACTCCAATTACAGTTCTGTTATATAGTATTTTACTAAGCTAACGCCTCATAAAACACGATCAAGCATCCAGTTATACTTTAACATGTAAGCTATAGTGTACTGCTGTATAGGTGCTACAGATGGTGCTTGTCTAGCTTCCTCTGGTGGGTCAAGTATTCAGATCCTTCACTAACCACAGAAATTATAAACATACTTCATTCCAAGTTAAAGTTTTACCCAAATAAAAGTATTATCAGTAAACCAGACTGGACTTCATTACAGGATTATTATCAATTAATCAATCAGTAGCCATTTACTGTTGATCATTTTATATGTTTTGTATATAAAGTCTTAATGAGCTAAGTAAGTATTCACTATAGCTGAAACAAAACACCCTTGGAAAGTGGAATAGAAGTAGAGTGTAACATAAAATGGAGATATTCACATCAAACTACCTAAAAATGGTAGAACTTGAGTAATTTATCAATTGCACTACTTTAAACAGTGACATGTGACCTGATGGTATGTTCTCCATGTAAAAACTTTAAAAAAAAAGATGAATTTAGAGTACAAAATGACATTTCCCCCTTTGAAATGGACTTGAGTCTCAACATACGGCCTAATATAATGTAGAATTACCACTAGACTGAGTAAATATTGGTGTCAAGGCATGATGATAGCAGTTGAGCATTGTAGTCAGTTAATCAATTAGTCAATCAACAGATTTTATACCTATATATTTAAGTCACCACATTAGAGTTTTGGACATTTTTCACCATTTTCTGACATTAAATTGAACAAATGATTCATCAATTTAATAAAAAAAACCTAATCAACAAATGAATCAATAATGAAAATAATCATTACCCTAGAATATGGTACATTTGTATATTACAGACCACAGTGTAAGGCATAATAGAGTTTGGATTTGTGCTCTTAAAAACTTTAATATGAGTGTTATTGATCATGTTTCCCCTAACACAAAGGTAGTTTGTCCTATACATTACATAAAGCAGTTTAAAATATCTGCTCACCGATGTGATCCTGTAGGATGGCTATATCCAGAACACTGCGTCTATACTTTGTTTCCAAGTCATTTTCACCTGCAACAAGACAATAAAACTTTTTTTAAAAAAAGAGGAGAAAAAGCACAATTTAGTATCAGAAAAGGACAAAAAAAGAAGTTACTTCTTTCAGGCTTCTTCTTTGGGGTCTTTTTAGTCTTTTTCTTTGGAGGCATGTTTGTTCGCTGTGCGGCTGCCTCTTCACAAACTGAGCACCACACTAACCACATACAGGGATGAGTCTTTGTTGCTGGGCTCTGGTTGCTGAGTGAGTTGCCATGACATTCACTGTCCCACTTGATTGATAGATGATTGACTTTAATAACAGCCAATCACAACTTGACTTGGGGGGGGGTGCACCGTTGTCTTTTTTAGCTCGCACACAGGGGCGTTGTAATTGGACCCTTACTTTTAGTGAGACATGTCAAAGCGTCCTTCGTTGTCAGGGGTGACCAAGGACAGCGCTGCGAGAATCCAGGGCTGCATTCAGCATCACTCCGACGTTTTATCAATGCTGTACAGACGGCGGCGCGCTCCCGACTACATTCATGGCTCGTGAACGCGCACAGGGAAGGCGGGGAGTTACGGGGGGGGGGGGTGTGAACGGAAGGGGGCGTACAGGAAAGGAAAGGGCCGCACATACACGTCACGGAGGGAAACAGAAAAAAAAAAATAAAATAATGGGCAATGTTTAATTCCCACATTCATTATTTATTCACCCTCGTCCCCACGTTTATGTCCGTGAAGCCTTCGCAGTTTTGAGCGCAACTTCCTCTCCTCGGTATCCGTCGTCAGCCCGCAGAGGAGGGCTCCGCTGACACTGTCACACAGCCGCTCAACTTCCCGTCAAGACTGAAGAGAGCTGCTACTTCTGAGGCGAGGAAAAAAACAAAACAAAACAAAAAAGAAAAAAAGGGGGGGGGGGGACGACGTCGGGGGTTGTCAAGAGGAGAGGACACACTCCAGTCCACACGGCTTCTGGGCAGAGAAACGGTGCCATTGTCCTCCAGCTGAGGGCGGGCAGAGACAGGTCTGGTGCTCTGCTAATTAGCCTGCGTGGGTCCCTGCAGAGAGAGAGACACAGCGGCAGCGCGGCTAGCTGCAGCACGGAGCTGTGAGAGACTGAGGGGGGGGCTTGTTGTAGCCAGACGTTTATCTGACAAACTGATGTTGGGTTTACTGATGGGTGCCTTTATCCGATAGTCATCCCTCCCCTCTACTCCCCCTACTCCCCCTACCCCCGTCGGACCCTGGCTCGGATTCGCCAATCGGGCGCTGTCCTCGCCGGGGGGTGCCGGATCACCATCGCCCGGTTCAGCTAACTCCAGGCGGCGGTTCGGTCCCCCTTGCCCTGCCTCGTCTGTCTGCCGCTCTGGCCGACCCTAGCCGAGCCCGAACATGGCAGGGAACCTGAAGAAAGGCGGGGGGCTCATCGGAATGATGAAGGATGCCTTCCAGCCACACCATCACCACCTCCACTCCCATCACCAGCCCGGGGCCGTGGACAAAAAGACGGTGGAGAAATGCTGGAAACTGATGGACAAGGTTCGTACGTTGACTGCCAACGGTAACCGACCGTTGACTGCCAACGGTTGGTTACCGTTGACTGCCAACGGTCGGTTACCGTTGGCAGTCAACGGTCGTTAACCAACCGTTAACGTTCGCTAGGACGCCCTGGGCGACTGCTAGCTAACCGCAGCTAACTAGCGATAGGCTAGCTAATCTTCGCCTGCTGCAGGTCTGGCGGCGCTAACGCTCAGTTAGCCAGTCAGCTGGGAGAAGTCAGGGTTAGCCAACCAGAGCTAATGTGCTAACTTAAACTGTGTTGATTTGCACCGTACGTGCCAGGGCAAAAGACAAAGAGTTTTAAAGCAGCCTAACATCAACGTTAGCTCACAAAACAGAGACAGGGCTTCTTTAACACGTCTGCTAACTAGTTGCCATACAAAGGTAGCTTACATCTTGCTTGTTTGGCCACCTTTAAATACCGGGCTGTATCGTAAACATTGGAGTTAACAAATAAGGTGGAGTTGGCTTGAAAATATGCTACACAGGAGTTGAATTTAGCGACTGTATGGCAGTGTGCAGTGAGAGGCTGCTAACAGAGTAACAATCTCTCCTGTACATTGTTGCTGTAATGTCTGCGGTCAACTGTCTGTCAGCCCGTGGAAACTGTAACAAAGCACTGAGAGAAAAAGAAAAGAAATTTGTCTATTTAACGAGGCCAGTTATGCTCTTTCACAGGGGAGACTCATTTCACGGCTTCACTTCTCGGAAAAGTCTGTAGCAGTTTGACCCCCAGTTTCCTGTGAGATTCACACAGCAATATCAGAGTGAAGAGGAAGACAAGACACTCTTTTGTGTCTCCTCTTCCTCTTTGAGGCCTTCGTTTAGAGCTCTGATGTTAAGAGAACTGTTTTTTAACACAGCTATTATTAAGGAACCACATTCCAGTTTATTTTGCCCCATTAGCATCTGTGGTAGATTGTAGGGCTGGTTCTTCACAGTTGAGAAGTTACTGTATCTAACACAAATAAGAAAACAGAAGTAACACTGCAACGACAGTCTTTCTTTTGTTTTTGTTCTCAGTGTATGTTCAACAGTCCTGTAGAAAATGCCTGTCTGTACATCCAGACAGTATGACTGACCATACACCATTAAAACCACCTGCACAGTCAGGTTAGCTTTTTGAGTTTACAGTATGAGAATAATTTACCATATTCATCTGACCCAGTGAAACAGTGGAGGGACAGCACCAGTGAGGTGAAAAACAAGAGTAGCTTACCTTTTGAGAAGGGCTATAGGACCAAAAGTATTTTTACTCTACCAGATAGTTTTAAAATAGCAGCGGAAATATTGTTCAGCGCTGTCTAAAGGAAAACCACAGCCCATCATATACTGTAGAATAGCACCTGTAGAATAATAATAATAATGCAGTTTCTCTCTGAAAACACCTCCTGCACAGGGCTAAGTTAATTTTTATCAAAAGCATGAGGCTAAGTTTCCTCTTCAGAGTTGCATACATGCAGCTAGCACAGTGTGCTGCAGTCTGCATTCAGTTTAGGCTTGATATTCAATTTTAAAACATTAACCATTAAGTGTTGCATTTCTGTCTCTGCCGCTGTGCCGCTACATGCCGCAGGCTAATTAGCTATTCATTAATCAAAACCTAAAGTTGTTTGTGGAAAATGTTCACCACCAGCCATAAAAGGACATTTTGGCAATGTTTGTTTTCTTATTTAGCCAGACACTTTTGTCAGCTAACCACCAGTGAGGTTCAGGTCATAATGCTACTCAAGAATATTTATAGATATCATGATATCGGTTTTGTTCAGACGTGCAGCTCAGTGACCGACCTTCTCCGATCACTATAGCTGGGGGGAATTAACCTTTGTCTGTCTATCTATATTGTAACATTTTCTCACCAGTGGTCCTGTTGTCACATTATATTCATAATGATATAGACGTTGATGTTCGCCCTTTTGTGTTGCCCATGTATGTATTTATGCTTAAACAAGTGTAGTAAGACAGCAGTCATTGCTTTGTGTAAAACATAGCTTTAATCTATTGAGGCCAAACCCAACTTGGTGATTACAAAGTTTCTGGAAGAGAAATAGATAATTCAGTTGCAGACCATAGTTTGTCATCAGACATATTGTGAAATCCCAAAACTTTCAGGGAATTAACAAATAGTCCTTTTGGGCAAAATGTGTTTTCCAGGAACAGTCTCTGAGCTCTGCAGAAACAAGGAAGCACAAAATTGTCTGTTTACAGCTAAAGTTGAACAAATTCAGCCACAGCCAGCTTTCCTTCAAGCTGGTTAAACTTTAAACGATTTGAACTTGATGTACAAAAACTACCAGGTCTGTGCCAGGTGTAGAATGAGCCAGGAGAGTCTGAGACAGAGACGAGAGAGCAAAAAGATGAATGGAATGCAGTATAGCTAAGAGGCAGTCAACATTTTACTTCAGGACAGTAGGCTTGATTGACATTGACGTACAAGAGCACTTGTACGTGTGCGTGCATGTGTTTGGCTGAGTTATGGCCATATGTGTTAGCATGGTAGACGATAATGTTAGTAGTGTAACCTTGGCAACAGTCTTATCTGGTCTCAAACATAACCAGTGTAGACCTTCGTTTGGAGGCCTGGAGAAGGGTTAAAGGAATTAGGGCACAGCGTTGGTAATGATACTGACTGCATATTAGCTTTCAGTTCAGTTACTCATGTAGTCAAATGAAAGACTGTCTCTCACCGAGATATCAGCCACAAGCAAATTAGTAAAAATACGCAGGCGATGCAGAAAGTATAGAAGGCGCTATCCTTATAGTGTGCTACATACTATTCAGAGTAAAAGTTGTTCCAAGGCACCTTTCAGCTTTTCTTTCTCCTTCAGATTCGTCTCAGTTCGGTAATTTAAGTAATTTTAAATGGATGAAATCATCAGGGCATTTCCAGTTTTATCTGGTCAGCTGGATGCTGAGTGTAACATGGATAATCCTCATGACTAATCTAATGCTATTGTGCTGTTAGTTGGCCTGGTGTATTCAGTCCAGCAATGTGCTTTGTACACCCTGGTGATCCTTGATGTCTGTTAAAAAGTTTTTATCTATAAATGAATAGTTAAAAGTAATACCGGAGATACTGATGTGATGTCACTGCACTGAAATATCTGATGTGATGTCACTGCACTGAAATATCTCACCTGTGGTCCATTTACACTCGGAATCAGTAGGAAGCTGACCTTTAATGTACAGACACCAATGAAGGCCCACATGCTAAAAACATTTTGCATGTTGTGAAGTCAGTACTGCTTAAAATATCCTACCGGTCAAGTGTGACCTCATTCTTTTTGAGAGGCATTTGATACAGTGATGATGAAGCGAACGGTCTGAGCGCAGTGGCCCATTTACAGACCAAGATCAAATATTCCTAATATGTGACACCCAGGAAATGAAGCATGGCTCATTTTGGTTGCAGATTCATGAGCTGTCCCTGATATCTAAGATGTGGAAGGGAAGGGAATACTCTGAATGATACTGATGACCAATAATACATTTATCAAATAAATGTTAGGTAGTGCTATAACTTTTAAAAATTATGGTATATTTATTTAGTGGATCAATATTAAGTCCGGAAAATATAATACCATGTAATACCTAAAGATTGAACAAATAGCTGAGTTTTTGTCAGATGGGATTCGGCATATAAAACACATGAAATTGTTCAAATCATTACAATAAAAAAAGATGTCACCATGGCATAGATTCATATGTTGTTTTACTATTAATGATAATTTATGAATCTATTTGGTTCCAGGCCTACTTTTCTAATAAGCTGATTGATTTATAAGTTGTCTTTTGAAGTCTAATTTTCCCATAACGACAAACCGATGGCTTCCAAAAAGAAGAGGCAAGGAAATTCAAACCGTCATTCCTGAAACGCAATTCCTGCCATATTTCTTGCTAACACTCACTCATGATTAGTAGCCCGGTCTACAGAAGAATGAGCCATGTCCTGCTGTTGACGTGCAATTGTTCAGCCACCGTTGAAGCTGACAGATCAGGACATGAGACCCTTGGAAGTGTATTTTCGTGTCTTAGAGATCACACAAGTAAGTTTGACTTGAATGCAGTGGTAAATATGACAGCAGCCATGTCCATACAGAGTGTTCTAGGCTCTCGGCCAGTGTCTTTGTAATGGTCAACGAAGTGACTCAGACACAGTGCAGCAGTACAGTGAGATGGGTGAGGAAAGGTTGAACATTACTGAGGATGTAACATGCACTCATGCAGTCGGGTGAACATGTTTTACTCAAGCACGTAGTCGATTCCCTGAATGTTTTATAAAGCAATTAAATAGAAGTTCATCCTGCTCACCCATTACATATCTCTGCCTTCTGTTGTGTCAATGATTGATGTTCATCTGGCTGTTTCACTTGAAGTGTTTTTAAAGTTTTTTTTAACTTGCAAAGTTTATTTCGTAGCACAGTGAGTGCTTCAGCTGTTCAAATTTGCAATTGCAATCATGCCCAAATGTTGAGTAAAGAGAATTTGTATTTGTAAGGCAGAAGTGTTGGAGGACGTGCAGATTAAAATGAGGAAGTGTAAACACATCAACAGCTTCTCTAAACATGCCGAAGAAGTGGAGAATAAGACTGTGGTGACCTATGATTATTGAAATGGTAGTCACATAATAAGGTGCCAGCATTGCTGTGCATATCAACAAAAAGACATCTGGATGGTAAATTAGTAAGAAATGGCGATAATTAGCTTTACATTGCGAACCGAAACTGCACGGTTGAATGCAGTTATGCCTTTGTCCTGTTCCACCTTTGTCTTTTTTGTAGATACAAGTAGTGTGACAGTGGTGAAATAACTCATGATGCCATAAAGGATTAAATCAGTGAAACTCTGTGTATTCCATTATATAATGTGTAGACTTGCCACACTCTGAAAGCTCTGAGATTGACTCTGACAGGGCTTTTAAGGGCCTTTCTCTCAGTCTTTGACTTTGTTGGCATTTTCCATTCTGCATGTCTTCTATCTGGGCTCACTGACAATATTCTGCACTAAGGATAAGTGCTCTAATACAGAAAAGAGCTATATTATGCAAGACTCTGTCTATAAGATATAAATAATGCCTTACTGATGTACGGAATGAAAATGCATAGTGGCAGATTTTCTTACTCTGTCACTCTCCTTTAACTTCCTTCTCACCACCTTCTTTCTTACACATCTACTGTTTTGCTTTCTTCTCATCTACCTTCTTTCTTACACCCACTTCTTTTCTCTAACTGTATCTTATCTCCCCCCCACATCCTCCATTTCTGCAGGTGGTGCGCCTCTGCCAAAACCCCAAATTGGCTCTAAAGAACAGCCCCCCTTACATCCTGGACCTGCTGCCAGACACCTACCAGCACCTGCGTACCATCTTGTCTCGCTATGAGGGCAAAATGGAGACTCTGGGGGACAACGAGTACTTCCGGGTGTTCATGGAGAACCTAACCAAGAAGACCAAGCAGACCATCAGCTTGTTTAAGGAGGGCAAGGAACGCATGTACGAGGAGAACTCGCAACCCAGGTGAGTGAAGTGGATAAAACAAATGGCACCTAGCTGAATATTAATTGAGTGGGTGAGTGAGTAGGAGTCTAGAGGTGAATGGTGTGAAAATTGCTCCATTGTTATCTTCTCAGACCGTATTGCTGAGCCATTATGTTGGTTTTCTTTAATGAAATCCATTGGCGACAGGGTGAATTCTAGGTGTGAAGCCTTCGTGATAGCTGCTGTATCAAACCTCAACTTCATTCATTTCTTCTGAATAATTACATCTGCGCAAGCACAGAGGGAACAATTGCACCCAGCCCCCAGGGTGGTTGTAGCTCCAGATATACCAAAACAAGAGGAGAGAGGTGTTGTGGTTTGAGCATGTGAGCATCTGTGGTCAGAATGGCGCTTAATCTACAGCTGCCTCCCTGCCTGTCACTTTGTTTTTGTGCCTTTCTATCTCTACCATCTACTTGAACATTTTCTCTTCATGTAGCTGTCTTACTATAATGCTTTCTTTTTTGAAATTGCACAGTGCCTCTGTCGCTATCTCTTTCGTTCCTCTTACATTCATAATCTGTCTTTGTTCCTCGGAAAGCAGACACACAAGTGTACAGTCTGTATTAGAAATAAGCAGTTGTTTTTTGTGTGGAGGGACTTGTGGAAGTATAATTAATTAGATATTCCTCTTGTTTCCCTTGTTTAAAGAAATTACAAATGAGAAAAGGCATTCTTTTGAAGACTAAAGATACCACAGAAGACCTCAAGACAAAATTGTGCTTCTTATTATGCACAATGTTATTGTTATGTTAATGAGGCGGCTCTCTGAGGTGCAGACTAGCTGCTGGATGGAGCTGTTCTTACCTCTTTGCTTGTATCAGATGCCTTTTGGTTTGCTTCATGCTTTTGGCCAATTTTGTCAAACAAAGCTGATGACAGGCCTCATGTACGTGTCATGTATGTAATGTAATGGTAAGAAAGCCTCCATTAAGTTCTTCTAGGGTGTCTTTCATACAAGATGTGAGCCAGGAGCAAATGTTACCCCAGTAAAGGCTTTCTCCAGATCTGCCTCTGGGTGGGTGCTTCTCTTGCTGACAGTGGAAAAGATGACTTGCATACGATTTTTAAAAACCCTTTGTGTTGTCCGGGCGTCTTCTTATGTGTGACTGCTATAGCTGCTGTCTTCACACGTTTTTGGATTGGTCTGCCGGACAATGACACGAGTGGATGTGGAAATGTTTGGACAAAACCATTGCCTGAGGGGAGTAGTTACTAGAAAAATAAGGGGAGAGATTGGGTTAATTCATCTGCCAAGTGTAGTTAATGTTTTGTTGGACGTATTTTCTATTTTAAATAGTGTCTTTAACAACATCCTTAACAAACCTGATTAAAAGCAGCTTACACAGCTTTGTGTATTACAGTGTTGCTGTGCTACTCTCCTTGCTATAGATATTTTCTGTGTTGCAGAACTATAAGTGTGCTGCATTGATATAGCCTGGGAAGACAAAAATACAACTTTCCTTTCGAATTTTCAACATATAGAATAAAAAGATCAAGAATCCAACTTTCAAAACCTTGGTATTGTTGTTTGAGCTACCATGTGGTCTGTGAAAGTGACACTCAATGTCCATGCAGCCAAATATGACCAGTGCGATGACCTATGAGAGTGAATCATTGAAGGAGACAATAGTGGACTCTTAGTTTAGTTTGGAAAGCTCTAGAGCTTAAAATTTGGGAACAAAATGTGCAGCAGATTAGTCCACAAAATAGCCCTTTGTGGATCATCGTGTTTCTGGTGTTGCTGTGTGTCCTATTACAGCCTTATGTCATGACTTGGTATCTGAAGGCTTTGCAAGAAAACATCTAAATGCCTGCAGACTTAAGTAAAGGGAGATGGAAGTTAACATAATTTCTCAAAGTGCCACTAAAAATGTAGTTGCTTTCTCTGAATTCCTCCAATATGCTGCCTGACTTACAGGCTTGAATCGAAATAGTTGGTTCAAAGGCAGTTTCTTCAAACACTGACCTAACCTCTTCTGTTTCTTGTTTTTAGAAAATTATGTAATAGTTTTATCTAGTCAGTCCTAAGTTATACATCCTCATCTTGTTGCGCAGTTCCTTAGTGAGATTGTTCTTTCTCAGCCACGGTGATGCTAATCTTGCAGACAGAAAACCCCCACTATGGCAACCAGAGAGAAGGGGAAGCCTCTATTGCAACCACTGCTGCATTTACAATAAGCTGATAAAGTTGTGTTTTTAGCCATCTCTCATTGTAAAATCCATTGACATCATCCCTACATTGCACCAAGTGGCTGCGTAGAAAGAAATTCCTGGTTAAAGCAGAGGACACACACACACACACACACACACACACACACACACACACACACACACACACACACACACACACACACAGTAGCCAGGCATTACTCACAAAGACTGCTATTGTTTGTGTGCAGAAGGCAGTGGCAGTGACACTAACCAATGGGTATCAGCCCACTTATGAATGCTATAGAATCAACCAATGGCGTTGAGTCGCTAGAGAGACTAGTATGTGGTTAACTCAGCACATGGCTTAGGCTAAAAAGTCGACCAGTGAGGGTAAAGATAATCTCACTGCTTGAATGCAGAAATAATAGTTTGCTAATACACTGCTTTCACTGTGTTCTTCAAGTCAGCTTTAATTAAAATATGAGAACACTGGCACTTATTATTCCCACCACTGTGACTTCAATCAGCTCAGCACTTGATAGTTATTGACTTAAATGACAATGAATGGGACTCCACCGTGGCTTAATAGCTTTTTTTCAAGTCTGGGTGAAGGATTCGAGCGTTTCATGAGAGCCCTGAATGCAGCGTGGGTGGACATGCTATGTTGTGATGCCGTACAGACTTCTCGACAATGTCTTCCCCAGAGATTTAGACCCACAATTTCTTCAACCCCCCCGCTCCCATTTGTCCCACACAGATATTGTTTAGCTTTAGAAATAAAGTAGAGTTGAGGTAGTGGTTTGGTCTTGACTTCATTACAAACTGAGTTGTGTGAGTGGGAAGTCCTGTATATTTATGTTTTTATGTTAATATGGTGGAGAGAGAGAGTTCGATGTTATTCACAGTACAAGACAGTGTGTAACTGTGAGTGAGATGTAATTATTAACACTGACAGCCCATATTCAGTCAGAATCAACAGAACACAGTCAGCACTTCCTCCTTGTTTGCTTCACTTACTTCCTCATATGGCTTTACTCAGCACAGCCGAGACATTTTCTGGCCTCAGAGTTGATAAAGACATGCAGAAATAAGTTGGTTTTGACAGTTTCCTTTGTTAGTTAAAAGTGTGAAAAAAATCTATTGTCTATTCTGAAATCCCCAACCAGATTACACTGTAAAATTCTTATTTTTTTTGTTAGGTCAGAATAGAGCTGCTCAGTTAATCTAAACATTATTATAAATAGCAGTAGGGTCAAGTGCAATATCCAAATCGCAGAAGCTGCAGTTTTTTGACAAAAGAAAAGGGTTCAAACAGCAATGTAATGAAGCACTGTAGTAGTCCAAGAATTATTTTTATTATCAAATAATCTACCAATTATTTTTTAGAAACCGAAACATTGTTGCTTGAAAAATTAATGAAAAGATTAAATGTTTATCAAAATAGTTTCAGATTAGTTTTCAACTGATTAAATTCTATCGACCAACCATTTAAACGCTAGATAAACACACAAACAAAAAGCTTGCAGACTAGTGAGTGTCTAAAGTTTACTTAATTGTTCTGTGTTGGGGAAATTTGTGTTTTGTCCTTTTATGAGTTTCTTCCTGGTTTTAACATAGCTGCTATGTCTGTAGCAAGTGAATTAACACTATATTTTGAACATTACACATTCTATGGTCTGTGAGCAGAGTAATACAGTAGAAGGGTTGATCAATGTGTCCTATAACCTCCCCTCCCCCATGGGTCTCACCGGATACCGCTTTGACCTCTCTGTGAGAGTCTGTTTGATCGTCTTCCTGGGCTAAGCTGCCATTGCATCCTGACCACCGTCGATAGGTCCAGCTGGTCACAGGAAGTGGTGGGCTTAGAGGCTGCAAGGTGATGCAACTGCACTGTGGGACAGTCTACACTGCAGAACATTATAGACCCGGAGGCTAAAAGTATGTCTTTTATATTATTTGTAGCATGGGGATAGGTCTAATTTGTCTCTTATATTATCTTTACACACCTAATCTGTTGTTGGTGGATGTTTACTTGCCCTGTAAGCACTTCTGACAAAATTGTGTATGATGTAAAGGAGCTTAAAAAAATTTATTAAACAAGTAGGTCATCTGATAAAAATCTAAAACAGACTTTTCTAGTTATTGCCTCTCAATTGTGAATATTTGCTACTTTTCTGCGTTTAAAATTATTGTCAATGGAATATCTTTTTAGCTTAATTGTTGGTCGGGCAAAACAAGAAATTGTGTTGGAATTTTTAAATATTTGGATATTTAAAGACTAAACAATTGATTAACACCATATCAATCAGGACAGCAATAACTATTCCTTGCAGCCCTACGCACATTTTCTCATCCTTCCAAAAGCATTTAGACTTCAAGGGAAAATGGCCTTTCCATAATATATATTTTACAATCCACACGTCTTTTACTGTGTCAACTCTTTCTTTACTTGCTTCCACCATCCCTACCTTCCTTTACTGACAATGCATTGCTCCAATCCTTTGCACAATAGAGAAATGCATTCCAGACATGCTTCAGTGATATTTTTACAATAGTCGGTAGAAACAACTTCCTCAAGCTTCAACTCATTCAGCCTTCCCTGCAGCTCAACTACTGTTCAGGCTTCAGTGGCAGGTGCCATGAAGAGCCTTTCACTCAACAATGATTTGGATCCATTTGTCTTCACTCACCATGACAACATTCAGTTTTTTTCTAAATCTTTCAATAGTTACTGCTGTGTACAATGTGCATTGTTACTTCTTAAGAGATTTCAGTATACAACAAAGAAGATGAATGATTCCTTCAAAAATTAAATATTAAAGAAG